TTGGAAGCAGGGGTGTTTTTTGATAGTTTGACTAAGGAATGGTAAGTCTGAGAGATGGATGTTTTTGCTAACTATTTGTTCTACATCTAACCAAGTGCTATCTGACTGGGTGGGGTGGGTCCATTTGTAGATGTATTGAAGTTGATTCGCTAGTGAGTAATAATGAAAATTTGGAGCATTGAGTCCGCCTAAACTTTTTGATTTTTGAAGAGTGGCCAGTTTGATTCGTGGGGGTTTATTTTTCCAGTAAAATTTGTTGATGGATGAATCGAGGGAATGAAACCAGGTGAGAGGTGGATGAGTGGGAATCATTGAACAAAGGTAACTGATTTTGGGGAGGATTGTCATTTTAACTGTTGCTATTCTGCCTGTAATAGATAATGGGAGGTTCATCCATCGTTGGAGATCGTCATTGATTGTTTTTAGGAGTGGAGTGAAATTCAGGTTGATCAACTCTGACAGCCTGGGGGAAATGTGGATGCCTAAGTAGGTGATGTGACTTGCGCAGAAGGGGATGGGTGTTGTAAGGGCTGCAACAGCCAGACTGTTGGTGTTTAATGGGAGTATGGAGGATTTGTTCCAGTTTATTGAGTAGTCAGAGAGAAGGGAGAAGGATTTGATGACTCTGATTACTTCTTGTAGTGATGATTTCGGATTCTCCATAAAAAGTAAAATGTCATCTGCATAGAGGCTGATTTTATGGTGCATGTTGGGGGTTTGGATTCCTGTAATGAGGGGGTTTTAAAGTTTTAAAGTTTCCTGTTATTTCAGAGGAGACTTGTTAAAATTAGGGCCATGAAGCATTTGAAGGAACTGTGCTTCAGTATAGGTTTCACAAACAAGGAGATACTTCATCCTTTGGTACATCAGCATCACATTGTCATAAGTATAAAGACTCAAAAAAAGAATATATGAGAAATACGTCTTTTCCACGGGGGGAAAAACTGGTGTACTAGAAGGAAATCGCTGCTTTTGTGGAGGCAGAAATGGATATGCTGAGGATATATCCGTTTATGCAGCCGTAAATATCCGTGAATGACATTGAGCTTTAGTTTATGATATGAATCCATATGCCATAATAAGGTGTTGGTGTCTCTGCAGGTGTAGGTTACCGCCGGTGTCAGAGACGTGGTGCTCGTCTGAGCTCGACTCCCTCTGGATCATAAATGTTGATCATCATCAGTTTGATTGTTTCTTCAGAAACCACAAAATCTCTCTGAATGACCCGCTGATACATCCACAGATAACCCTGCAGATGACCAGCTTCAGTCATTTCCCCCTCCACAAAAGCAGCTTTATGACTTTATATACTTTATGACTTTATTCTCCTAAATTTAAAACTTTAATCTCTAAATCTTAAAAGAAAAAAAAAAAACTCAATGTTGTCTCATAGTTGTGTCAGCTTTCTTATTTCTAATGTTTTTGATAGTTGTAGCAGAGCGGATCAGCTGTCTCTAAATCTATAATGTTTGGTTTGCCGATTTTAGTGAGTTAAGAGATCATGCTCTCATACAGCCTGAGATGACTGTCTGCTGTTTTTGGATTTCTTGTACTTTCTTTGAAGACGCGCTGTGTCTCCAAGCGAGTCCAGCCTCTCACCTGAAATGCGCAGCTGTGCAGCGGCACACAAAGCATTCTGGGATACCGACGGCACAAAAGCGTGCATAAATGCACGCTTGAAAACATGCTAAGCGCGCTTAGCGCATCTCGTGCCAAATGGGACACCGTTCGCGCCGTCATGACGTCATGCACGCTTCAAATTCACCGTTCGACGGTGCAGAAGTGCACTTAGCTCGATGCAGTCTCTGAAATGAGACACAGCCACAGTCTGACAATGTGTGTGCGTGTGTCTGTGTCTGAAAGACCTGCATGTACACACAGTTAATATTTGTCTGCTTCACCCCCTTTCTCCACCCACAAACTCTGAGCTACAGAAACCATTCTGGGCTTAAAAAATTCAGCTCATTGAAGATATTATGGGGTGTTTTGAGGATTGTGATAATAAATTGTATTAATGTGTTCAGCAAATGTTAATATGAGCATCAGGGCCTACTTGGAGTCCTGTTTCTTTAGCTTCAAGTCTTCTTTCTCCTGCTGTAGTGATGCATCTACGGTCCCCATGGCAACCAATTTGTGCACCTGGAGACACACAGCTGACTGGAAAGCTGCTTCTAACGGTCATATGAGACACATGAAGCCAGGCTCAGTACACATAGCACTGGGGGTGACATTTAAAACCCTTTACTAGAGCGCTTGACAAACTTCAGCCCCTATCACCTCCCATGAACTTTGACCTACAGAAACCATTCAGGGCTTTAAAATTTAAGCTCGTTGAGGACATTATGGGGTGGATTTTTATTCATTTAAACTTTTAAGGTCACTCAGTGATGATTTGTCATTAAATTTTTCGAACTAATTTAAACTCATTCAAACTGATTTAAACCTTTCTAATAACTGAAAACTTTCTGATACTTGAGAATTTTTAATTATTTAAATTTTCCCTGTTTAAATTAGTTTTAATATTTATGCATTATTCCATCCTTCAAACAAAATCCCACCTCTAGAACTACAACTACTGCTAATGTCAATTTAACTAGTACTTTCCCCTCTACTTCAACTGCTCTTGCTCGTATTTCTACTTTCTCTACTGCTGCTATTGCTACTATTTCTACTTTCTCTACTACTTTGACTTATACTTCTTTGTCAGAATAATGTGTATAAATGTATATAGAAGTTATCATCTTACTCAAATTCTTATGTAAGAGTTTACTACAAGTATGAGCTGTTTTAACCTATTGTTACACATCATATGAGTGTTTTCTAACTTCTCTCTCCAATAGCTTTATTACACAGCACATGAATGTTTCTTAACTTCTCTGTGACCTTGTTTCTCCTATCCGCAGGTATGTGTGTGATGTAGCCTCCAATGTGAATCGTGGGAAGTAATAAGGAGGATCCGCTCCTATCTGAAAGAGTTCGTTTAATGTCAACAATGTTGCCTTGTTGTTCATAATTATGTTTTATGAGAGTGCTTACGTTGCTGCACAGTTTTCCCCCATCCTTTAGTAACATTGTGTAACCAGGGACAACCCTAAATAAAAGAGACTGGACAGAAATACCTTCAGAGTGGTTTTGAGATTGTAACTGAAACTATCTCTGTCCATTCTCCTCGAGTAAGAAACCATTGTCTTCCTCTTCTTTATGTGTTTTCAGTCATTTCGGCAGGTTTAGACCCAACATTTCTTTGGTTCTTCGAGCCGGATTCCAATAGACCTGACGATTTCAGCAGGTGAGGTGGATGACAGATAAGACCGTGGCCACGGCAGACCCTCTAGGTTGAGTCTTAAAGACCTCTCTGAGGAACTGGACTTGACCCGCCTGCTGGGATCCGACGGTTGACGGAAATCCGAAGAAAAGGGGAAAGACAAGTGGTGAGTTGGTCTTTTATAAAAAGAAACGTGGAATGATTGAAATTCGCTCCGCGTAAAGAATCTATAAAAAAACAAAAAGGACGAGCAGGTCCTACTTAAATCCGTTGTTAAAAGGACGACAGAGTCCTACTAGACATAGTTTAAATTCCACGAAAGGACTGCGGAGTCCTACTAAAAATAGTTTAAATTCCGCGAAAGGACTGCGGAGTCCTACTAGAAATAGTTTAAATTCCGCGAAAGGACTGCGGAGTCCTACTAGACATAGTTTACATTCCGTAAAGGACGAGCCGGTCCTACTTAAAGCCGTTATTAATGGACGAGCGGGTCCTACTTAAAGCCGTTGTTAAAGGACGAGCGGGTCCTAAGAAAGCCGTTGTTAAAGGACGAGCGGGTCCTAAGAAAGCCGTTGTTAAAAGGACAAGCGGGTCCTAAGAAAGCCGTTGTTGAAAGGACAAGCGGGTCCTAAGAAAGCCGTTGTTAAAAGGATGAGCGGGTCCTAAGAAAGCCGTTGTTGAAAGGACAAGCGGGTCCTAAGAAAGCCGTTGTTAAAAGGACAAGCGGGTCCTAAGAAAGCCGTTGTTAAAAGGACGAGCGGGTCCTAAGAAAGCCGTTGTTAACACGTGTTAAAAGTGTGATTGTGAAAGTGTGAGAGTGAATAGAGATATATCACTAGATATATCCTATTCATACCAAAATGGTGGGATTGCAAGTAGTGACCTTATTGTGGAAGCAAAGGCAAGAATTCTCCACTCGCAAGAGTAGAAGCGAGAATTACCACATAAAGGAATTTTTATCACTACCCCATTGAAAGAACCCAGCTTAATAGGACACCCTAGGTGTCACCTAGGCTGGACCAAAACACATAAAAATGGGGACGGAAGCCAGTAAGGCTAAATTAGAAGAACTAAAATGTCAAGATTGGAGAATCTTTGAGAAAAAGCCAGAAAAGTTACAATTTCTCGAATTATGGGTAATCAAATTTGGGTTTGACGGCAGCCTAAGAACAAACCAATTAAATAAACTACATGTCTCCATAAACAAAAAAGGCTATAAGTAAAGACAACTTGAATAATAATAATCATAATAATAATAATACTGATAATAATGCAGAAATGAAAGGTAGAAAAGACAGTTTAAAAAGGCAGAAAGGTTTAAAGGGGACCTGGCATCAAAATTTCATACCCATTTTTATCATTTTTTCATAATCCTTGATGCCCTCTGATCATGTTTGCAACGTAATTTTAGCTGAAGCCTGCTGTGCTCTGATTGGCTCAGCAGTGGAGGTTCGGATTTCGGTTTATCCATTTTGCTAATGTGTGCTAAAGTAAGGTGCCCAGATGTCTGTAATGATATCCAGGGATATTCGGTGCGGCGGTGCAGGGGCTGTGTGATCACAGACAAAGTCTCGGTACTATTTAGTAGCAGCGCATGCCCCTTGTAATAACCCCCTTAAAAACTGTTGTTCAGGACTGCTTACTTGTGCTTCCTATCTATTCGGCTACTGTAATAACCGTTGTTCAAGCCCACACGCAACATTTTTGCTCTCATTCATGAAACACTTAAATGGGGGACAGTTTTTGCCGGGGACAGGTCATCCAATACGGGCACTGTCCCCGGAAATCAGGGACGTCTGGTCACCTTATGCTAAAGGCTAAAAATGGTAGGTACTAAACCATATATTTTAGACCCCGAGTCCGAAGAGGAGGTGGAAGTTGAAGAAGAAGCCAGAGATCTCCAGCTGTGTTTTCTCATTCATTCTGCCCAGCTTTAAGTTCATTTTCCCGGCAGTGAACCCAAGGAAACACTGGTCGTTTGGAAGAGACCCATAGCGGATACAGTGATAGCTGGGTCTCGCTCTGACTGTGAATGAGTACGAGAACGAGAGAGTGGGCGCGGCTCACTGAGGACGCGCTTGTGAATAATAATGAGCAAGGTAAGCGCGACGTCAGAGGCACCTGCTTTTTCAATTGGCCTAGTTTACCCGTTCCTTTATTTTAAACCTTTACAGAGTGCAAACGACGTAACGGTTTGTTTTCATATAGCAACATAAGACGGACATAACATGGACCTTATCTGACACAAAAAACACACAAAATTACATTTTGATTGCAGGTCCCCTTTAATGTATACTGCAAATTTTTAGCAAGTTAAGTTCTCTGGACAGTCTCTGTTCTCTGCACAAATGATAAAATGATTCATCAAAGGCCAGTTATGACCTTGACTCCTCCAGAGACACAGCAGCCAAAGAATCCCTCCCTATGCAGAAGCATGTAGCTATCAAAAAACAAAACTGTGACTAAACTGTTACAGTCTATAAAGTGTAAGTTGTACATGTAGACATGTCGCTGGAGAAAAAGAGGTTTTCTGACCTCAGCTGGAATCCCTGTTAAACATTTGAACCAACTGATTGATATTATACCTTATTGAAACTTAAAGAAGTAACCATAGTAAAGTGCAGAGAACACCAAAGCTAACTTGGAATTAAAGCCCTCTCTATAATGCTATTTAACGTAAGATCAACTCCAAATGTGACAATGAATTTCATACCACATGAGATAAATAGGACGACTATGGGATAATAGGAGAGATGATTAACCATTTGATGACTATGACAGAGAGAACAAGGAAGAAGCAGGTTCAGAGGCAGGAATTTCAATAGAGAAGGCAATAGAGGAAGTAGAAGTTTTGACAAAGGTTATGAATCACAAGAGCAGAGAGGTGAAGAACAGTACCCTGACCGAGGTCATGAACCACAACATCAGAGAATTACAGAGCTTTTGGTCACTAGGTGAAGAGCTGTAGAAAAAAGTATCAAGCATGACTAGAAGAGGGAGAGACAGCAAGTGTTATTCGACAGAAATGAAGAGAAACTGTGAACAGAGAAGAGACAGAGGAGGAAGAAGTGCTAAACCTGGAGGAGATAAATAAATATATATATTTTTTTGATAGATAGATAGATAGATATACTTTATTGATCCCAAACTGGGAAATTCTCTTGTTACAGCAGCAAAAAAAAAAAAAAAAACAGTTCTTGGACATAAACTACCACAGATTAGGTTTTCCAAACAAAAGATTTTTGTCAGATTAGTAAACAGGGGCCTTATGTATCAATACTTGCGTGGAACTCATACCAGAAACGAGCGCACGCAAGGTCCGTCACGCTGAAAAAAATCCGTATGTATCAATGTGTGCGGGCGCCGAAATCCACGTGTGTTTCCTTGATAAATCCCGATCAGCGTGGAATTGAGCGCAGATGTCGGAGTGACTGGGCCCGTCCCCGTAACGCCCTCCTATAAATATGCAGATTTATTTAAATAGGGTCTCCCTGTCCTCGCACGCAGACAAAATGACAAGAAAAACTAAATTTACGGCGTGCAAGGTGGAGGTGCTGGTGGTGGAGGTGGAGGAGCGACAGCGTGTTTTGTTTGGCAGCCTGTCAAGTGGCGTCAGTGCAAAACAAAAACGCTTGGAGTGGGAGAAAGTTTGCGAGAGGGTGAATGCGGTGGGTTCCGAGACACGCACCCCCGCGACGATTAAAAAAAAGTGGTCGGACCTCAAGGTGGAGGTCAAGCGGCGTACAGCTGCCCTCCGGAGGAGTACTGGCCAGACGGGTGGGGGTCCGGGGGAGGAGACCCTCACACCGTTTGAGCAGCGGGTGGTGGCGATTATTATTATAGGGTAAGTGGCGTGTCACACAAATGTCCACATGCTTTGTCATCCCACTGAGCAAAAGACGTATATTAGACGTCTAGTCTAAGTTTATACTTCATTTCAACGTCGGGATTCAGTCTATTTTTAGACGTGATTTATACTTCGCCCTTAACTTCATTTTTCGATAACTTTTTATGCAATAAACAACTGTAATGTGCATAACTGACCTCTAAATACTGGATTACATTACCTATGATACCGTGGAGAGAGATGTAAACGCAACAGATACACAGAAGCAGGAATTGAAATGAACCAATATTTTTATTGTGTCACAGACTTCAATGTGTCGGCCGAGTCGCCGGCTTGCGGAACCCCGGCCCGCGGCAGCCCGTCCGCCGGCTCGGAGTCGTCGGCCAGGACCAGCGGCATTCGGGCCACCCCGGCCCCCGGCCCCAGCACCAGCATCAGCACCAGCGCGCCGACAAGCGGTGGAGCGTCCACCAGCCGCGGCGCTTCCGCTGGACCACCCGGACGCAGTGGAAGGGTCCTCGCGGAGGGGGTCCTGCAATCGCTGGAAGAAATCATCAGGCGGATCGCGGGGATCAACGAGCGGCTGGACCGGCTCGTAAATGTCCTCGAGCGTCTGGTGGAGAAAATAAATTAATTTGGCGCTCGCCCAGGGAGTAATTTAGTCTAGAACCGCCACTGCTGCTTCTAACGGCCATATGAGACACATGAAACCAGGCTCAGTACACAGAGCACTGAGTGTTACATTTAAAACCCTTCACTGGAGCACCTGACCCTGGCCCCTATCTCCTCCCACAAACTTTGACCTACAGAAACCATTCAGGGCTCCAAAAATTCAGCTCATTGAGGACATTATGTGGTGTACTCAGGATTTCTATTCATTTAACTTTTCCCCACTTTAAAATTATTCTCATTGCTCATGCATTATTAAATTCTTCAGACAAATTTAAACTTATTTGTGGTGTGGCTGGTGAGTTGTGAGGACCCAGAAGCAGACACGGAGACAGAGATCAACTTAAGGTGTAATTTAATGTCCAAACAAAGGTTGTAAATGCAAAAAGAGGAAGTCCGGTAGGCTGGCTGGCTGGCTGTTGTGTGGGCTGGAGACACTGCAGGAAAAACCAGAGGAGAGGTAGGTAAGTGAACATGCACAGAATCACGAGCAGCAAAGTTACAGATACTCTTACAAAGAGGAAGGCCAGGAGACGCTTCTGTACCGCTAGGAAGGGTAGACAATACTCAGGCGCTGAGACTGAGGGCTGCAGGCTTCTTAAAGTGCTTTGATTGGAGATGTGGAGCAGGTGTGTAGTCTCACTCAGCCTCAGCTACGGGGGAGGGGAGGAAGCGCTGGAAGAGAGTAAAGCCAGACCAGGCAAACAGGGAAACACAGGAAGTCCAGCCAAAATAAAACAAGATGAGGAGGCGTCTCACCACATTATTCAAACTGATTCAAACCTTTCTGATACTTCAAACCTGTTTAACACTTAAGGACTTCTAATTATTTAAAATCTTTCCTATTTCAAAATCATTCTCATTATTTATGTATGTTTTAATTCTTCAAAAAAAATCCCAGTTCTACCACTAAAATTACTACTTATATCACTTTAACTTGTATCTTCACTTCTACCTCCACTGCTCTTGCTTCTCTTAATATTTTTTTTACTTCTACTCTTACTTCTACCACGAGCTCTACTGCTTTGACTTCCACCTCTTCTATTATAAAACTACTACTACTTTTTATGTTACTACTAATTTCACTACTACAACTACCTATTATCATACTGTTTCCAGTACTACAACTTAAACTTATGCCATTTCTCACTTTTCTGTGTTTTGAGGTAATTTTCTGTCTTATCCAATTTTTTTTTGCAATTTCAGACAGTATTTCTAGCCTTATTCAGCATGAATGCAATTTTAATTTATGAAGCACATTCGCACTCTTTGGACTTCAACAGTTTAAACTTTCATCCAACTTCCACTTCTTCTTCTTTACCCCTTTAACCAATTTTACCTTTTAACCTTCTTCCATTTTTTATTAGCAGTTTAGCATAGCTTTTTCAGCTTTCAGCACTCAGCATTTCCACGCATTTTCTGCAAGGAAATGTAATTTTTTAGTTATTTCTTAAATTTCATTTTATGTTTCTTTTATGTTTCATTTTATGTTTAAATATACAAGAAGAACCAAAATCCAGACAACAAAACCATCAAACTAACTATATAAAAAATAACTAACTATGTATATATTTATATATATATATGACTGTCACTCACTGGTGTCCTGATTCACCATCATTTTTTTTTTATTCTGAGGAGGTCAGAGGTCAAGCTCTTTACTCCTGTCATTTAAATCAACTCTAGATAAAGTCATTAAATGTCAGGTGTGTGTGTGTTTCCTTCTCAGGTGTGTGTGTTGTACTTTGCTAAGAGTGCTGAGTTGACAGGAGTTAAGGAAGAGCACGTTGTTGCCGTGCCAACACCAATCACCAGCCAGGACCTGTGGAGGTTTTTACTGCAGAGACACCCCAGGTACCATGACAACGTGGTCACTGACCTCACTGTGACAGTTTCACTGTATTTACCGTGTGTGTGTGTGTGTGTAGGTTGTCTTGTCTTTCCAGGGTCAGGTGGTCCTGGCGGTGCATCAGCAGTACGTTAGCATCGGTGACCAGTTGGTGACGTTGGGGGATGGAAACGAGGTGGTAGTGGCGCCGCTGAGTGGAGGATAACGGAGGGTGAGACCTGAACAGAGGTGTGGGGGTGGTCACCTGAAGGACAGGTGAGGGTCTCTGTGTGTGCAGACCTGCAGACCTGTACTTTGTCTGGACCTGGACCTGTCAGGGTCAGAGGAAGTTTCTGTTTTTTCTCTTCTTCCTCTCTTTTCTAGGTTGCTCTCCTGTTTTAATCCATTGCTCTGCCCGACCTGTGGAGCCGTGTCACTTTTTATAGGTTCAGATTTTGGATTAACTTTATTGACACATCTTCAATGAACAAAAAAACTTTATTCAAATTTACAATCTGCGTGCGTGCGTGCGTACGTGCGTGCGTGTGCGTGTAGGTACGTGTAGGTAGGTGTGATTGCAGCAGCCTGGACTCTAGAGTTCGCTGGAGGTTTATGTCCACAGGGGAGCAGTAATGATCCTCTGCGACTCCCAGCTGCTGTGTTCCCTTTAAAGCAGAAGAAGAGGAGGGTCCGAGTCTGATGCTGCGTCCGAACTGCCCGTTCGGATACTACATGCTACTGCTACGTGCTACTGCTAGATCCTACTCCTACATACTAAAAACGTTGGCCCAATTCGGACACACTAGACGAGCGGTGGGGAAAGACGACCCCCGCAGGCAGAGAGTAGGTACTGCGCCCGTGCAGACAGTGGTAACTGAAGCTCCTCATCTGCGGGCCTGGCTGTAGTACTGCAGCTGTGCAGTTTAATGATGGAATAAGTGAGCTTTACCTCCATGATGTCGCCACATATTTGCTCATAAAATGATTACTTGGGCAAATATGACACCATGACATGACAAAGAGATACAACCGCACATTTTTTAGGACAGTGTGTGAAGTTACATGAAACTTACATCTGTACTGCTGCGGTCCCGCCTGCTGCTGCTGCTGCTCCGACATGGTGCGCGCTGCTGTGGCCAGCCGGCGTTCGCGACACTTTTAAATAGGCAGAGCAGCTGGTGGCGCTAGCATCACATGCGCTTCTACAACTTTTAAGAGGACGAAGAAGAAGCCCGCGGTGCATTTTGGGTCAGTAGCATGCCCGTAGGATGCACCGAGACCAACCTACAATGTGGGCGTGTCTAGCATCTGAAGTAGTATCTGAAGTAGCATGCTACTCGCTCCGGTGGCCAATTCGGACATGCTAGATACTACTTCGACTACTACTTCGACTACTACTTCGACTACTACTTGGCAATTCGGACGCAGCTCATGTCTGCTCAGGTGAGTCTCGAGTTCAGAAGCTGACCTAAAGGTGTGGATGTGTCCGCTCTGTCTGCGGGAGGGGAGGTTTTTATTTTGAACCAAACCCCGTTTACTTTTTGTCGAATTTAACGCTTTTGACCAGTGAGTAACAGACAGACCTCATGGAGTTGATTCGCGCCTTAAAGTGTGTGTTTGAGTGTGTAGGTCCGTGATTTCAGCGCCGAATCACAGCTAACTTTAATTTACATGTTTTTTACCTGTTCATAAAATTATTATTGTGTCGATTTATCCAGAAATTTAAAAACTGCTGAATCCCCAGGGGAGATCTGTAGCAGGATTGATAAAGCTAATCGATGTGACGGTGAGCAGGACCGCGTGAGAGACGTGAGGAGGTTCACCATCGGGACTTACCTTGGACCTTTGACCCAGACCAACTGTTTCATGATCCGTTTATATAAAGAGAAAAAGTCTCGATTCTGTCATTTAACCCACTTTATTATCACTATCAGGAGAGATTCTTTTAGATAGACGCTGTAATAGTATTGGTATGTCTGGCTCTGTTTTTAACTGGTTTGAATCTTATCTCAGTGACAGACAATTTTATCTAAATGTTTTGACATGAAGTATGGTGTCCTTCAGGGTTCCATTTTAGGCTCTTCTACTCTTTTTAATCTTGATATGTTTCCTTTAGGGAATGTCATCAGGAGGCACGGCATCAATTTCCACAGCTGTGCTGACGACACACAACTGTATGTTTCCGTGTCTCCTGATGACACAGGGCCACTTGACGCCCTTTTTAACTGCATTTTAGACATTACATAATGGATGGCAAAGAACTTTTTACAGCTCAACCAGGACAAAACTCAAAGCAAACTTTAAGTTTTATCCTATAATCCAAGTCAACAGACTAAAAAATTAGGTGTTGTATTTCATTCAGAATTGAGTTTTGAACCTCACATACGAGATATCACCAAGAAGGCATTTTATCATTGAAAGGACATCGCCCAAGTGTGACAAGTTTCAAGTTTCTCTTTCAATGCAGAGACATTAATTCATGCTTTTAATACTTATAGAATAGATTATTGTAATGCCCTAAAAGAACATTTTCACAACAACTCCAAAATTCAGCTGCATGGATGTTAACAAGGACCAGAAAGAGAGGTCACATTACAGCGATTTGAGGGTCTCTGCATTGGCTCCCCGTCTCTTTTAGAATAGATTTTAAGGTTGTTTTATTGGTTGTTAAAGCTCTTAATGGTTTTAGCCCTTCTTTTTTATCTTATGAGTCAAGTAGAGCCCTCAGGTCCTCAGGAAGTTCTCTGTTAACATTATTAAAGTTAAAACTAAAACATACGGTGAGAAACCTTTTTATTCCTACGGCCCCGTCTGTGGAACAGTTTACCTGAAGACCTGAGGACTGAAACTAATCTGAATGATTTTAAAACTAAACAGAAAACATACCTTTTTAGCCTTTTAACTAAATTTTATATCATTAACTTTAAGTGTTTTAGCATTTATCTCTTTCTAGTTTTAATGATAGGATCGTCTTTTATTGAGCTATTTTGGTGCTCTTTTTTCAGTATCTTTTACTGTTGTTTTTATTTCATTTTATTTATTAAGTGGAAATGCTGATTAAGAAGGGCTCAGAATTCCTACGATGTTGTTATTTTCGGTCTGGGATTTAAAGAAATCGCTCTATGTGAAGAAGTTCAGAGGCCCTAAATTCACTGCTGTTAGGCAGCTTCTCATTTAAACAGTTGGTCAGTTAATGCCTTTGATGTCTGACACCTGTTAAGATGCATTAATTAACAGGCACACACACACACACACACACACACACACACACACACACACACACACACACACACACACAGACAATGTGTGTGCGTTAGTCTCTCTCTGTCTATGAGACCTACAGGTACACAGTAATTATGTGTCTGCGTCACCACCTATCTCCGCCCACAAACTTCGAGCTACAGAACCCATTCAGGGCTCCAAAAATTCAGCTCATTGAGGACATTATGGGGTGTATTTAGGATTTTGTTAATTAATTGTATCAATATGTTCAGTAGAGTCTTGCGGTTCTCACAAGTTCCTTATCATGAACATAGCCATTACAGAGGATGAGCATCAGGGCATAATCTGGGATTTTGTTTCCTCAGCTTCAAGCCTCCTTTCTCCTGCTGTAGTGATGCATCTTCCGTCCCCAAGGCAACCAATTCATGAACATGGAGACACACAGCTGACTGGAAAGCTGCTTCTAATGGCCATATGAGACACATGAAGCCAGGCTCAGTACACATAGCACTGGGGGTGACATTTAAAACCCTTCACTAGAGCACCTGACAAACTTTGACACCTATCTCCTCCCACAAACTGTGAACTCCAGAAACCACTTAGGGCTCCAAAAATCCAGCTCATTGAGGACATTATGGGGTGTATTCAGGATTTTTATTCATTTAAATTCTCCCCACTTTAAATGTAAACCCGTTATTGATACATTATTAAATTCTTAAGACAAATTTAAACTCATTCAAACTGATTCAAACCTTTCTAATACTTAAAACTTGTCTAATACTTGGGGATTTTTAATTATTCAATTTTTTTCCCATTTTAGAATTATTCTCATTATTTATGCATTATTAATTCTTCAAGCAAATTCCCAGATTTACTACGACAATTACTACTAATATCACTTTAACTTGTATCTTCACTCCTACCTCCACTACTTTTGCTTCTCTAAATATTTTTTTACTGCGACTCTTACTTTTACTCCCACTGTTGCTTCTACCACGATCTCTACTGCTTTGACTTCCACCTCTTCTAGTATAAAACTACTACTACTTTTTACATTACTACTAATATCACTACTACAACTACCTATTATCATACAACTTCTAGTACTACAACTTAAACTTATGCCATTTCTCACTTTTCTGTGTTTTCAGGTAATTTTCTTCCTCATCCAATTTTTTTTGCAATTTCAGACAGTTTTTCTCGCCTCTTTCAGCATGAATGCAATTTTAATTTAGGAAGCACATTCACACTCTGTATATATATTTGACTGTCACTCACTGGTGTACTGATTCACCATCATTTATTTTTTTTATTCTGAGGAGGTCAGAGGTCAAGCTCTTTATTCCTGTCATTTAAATCAACTCTAGATAAAGTAATTAAATGTCAGGTGTGTGTGTGTTTCCTTCTCAGGTGTGTGTGTTGTACTTTGCTAAGAGTGCTGAGTTGACAGGAGTTAAGGAGGAGCACGTTGTTGCAGTGCCAACACCAATCACCAGCCAGGACCTGTGGAGGTTTTTACTGCAGAGACACCCCAGGTACCATGATGACGTGGTCACTGACCTCACTGTGACAGTTTCACTGTGACAGTTTCACTGTATTTACTGTGTGTGTGTGTGTGTGTGTGTGTATGTGTGTGTGTAGGTTGTCTTTCCTCCAGGGTCAGGTGGTCCTGGCGGTGCGTCAGCAGTACGTTAGCATCGGCGACCAGTTGGTGACGTTGGGGGACGGAGACGAGGTGGTGGTGGTGCCGCCGCTGAGTGGAGGATAACGGAGGGTGAGACCTGAACAGAGGTGTGGGGGTGGTCACCTGAAGGACAGGTGAGGATCTCTGTGTGTGCAGACCTGGGGCCTGTTCTACGAAGCAGGATTACTGCTTAGCGAGGTAACTTCGAGGATAAGTTCGGGGTTTCCTGTTCTACGACGCAGGTTCACTTCTTAGCGAGGCGAGTCTCCATAGCAATATACGCTGAACGGCTAACCTGCTCCGGGGCAGGTTAAGTTCCAGATTGAACTCATGGAGTATAAAAACCCCGCCCACTGACCAATGAGCTCTCTCGAAAAACGGCTTGTCCGTTGTTGGAGGATCCTGTAGACCTCGGTGCTCGCATTGTCCGAGGAGCACTCCGGCTCGCGAGAGTTTTCAGGGACTGCACGGACCCACTTACTTCTCCGGATGACCACCTTTATGGAAGGCTCATATGGCCGACATATTACATAAAACATGTAAACACGATAGGAATGAACAAATGAATGATTCATCTTGGGAATGAATGGGCATGAGCTGCACGGGCTGTGTGATCACAGACAACATCTCTGTACTATTTAGTAGCAGCGCACGCCCCTTATAATAACCCTGTAAATACGGTTGTTCAGGACTGCTTACTTGTGCTTCCTACCTACTGTAACAACCGTTGTTCTTGCCCACATGCAACATTTTTGTTCTCATTCATGAAACGCTTAAATCGGGGACATTTTCAGGGACAGCTTTAGCCGGGGACAGATCATCCAATTCGGGTACTGTCACCTTAGTTAAAAGCGCATGTTGAACAGTGCTATTTCAGGGTGATAATGGCATCAAAGATTACTTTTCTGCCAGCATTCCCTCTGTGCTTTTGCAGCGGCGACGGTGTTGTTGCTTGAGGTTTATGATAGATTTTAATTCTTCATACTTTCTCATGATCGTCTCCTGCTCCTCGTTTCTAAAGTCTGCAGTTCTTCGCTCTCCTGCCGGCTCTGACGCTCCAGACTGGTCCATGTTCGCGATTGGTCAGATGCGGCGGGCTCCGCCTTACATGTGTGCACGCGCTCATAGCAAAGCTGGATCAACTTACGAGGTTGTTAACCAGCGTGGTAAAACCGTGTAGCGAGACCGCTGGTTACCGCGCTTAGTTGAGCGAGGTAGCTCCAAGGCTACCTCGCTAGGTTGAACTTGCTTCGTAGAACAGGCCCCTGTACTTTGTCTGGACCTGGACCTGTCAGGGTCAGAGGAAGTTTCCATTTTTTCTCTTCTTCCCATCTTTTCTAGGTTGCTCTCCTGTAGGCTGCTCACCTGTTGTTCACTCACCTGTAGGTCACTCACCTGCAGGCCTGTAGGTTGCTCTGGGTCGCTCACCTGTAGGTCACTCACCTGTAGGCTGATTACTCATAGGCTAAATGATCCAAAGTGTGTTTCAGGTTTAGGTTTAGTCCTGACCCTAAAATAGAAATAATCAAAGAGCCTCAAGTAGAACCTCACACCTGGTTCTGGTTCTGACGGACTCTCTGGTGTTTGATTTTCTCAGATGACTGAAAAGGAGGAGCTGAGGGACGTCTTCAGACTGAGCCCTGATTGGTTGTCTGTACAGGAAGTGTTGGAGGCGGTCAGCAGCCCGACGTGTGGAGCCGTGTCACTTTTTATAGGTTCAGATTTTGGATTAACTTTATTGACAAAAATGAACAAAAAAACTTTATTCAAATTTACGATCTGTGTGCGTGCGTGCGTGTGTGCGTGTAGGTACGACCCGTGAGGACCTGGTTGATGGCAGGAAGGTGATTGGTCTGGAGTACGAGGCCTACGAGCCCATGGTCCAATCAGAGTTCAGGAAGCTTTGTGATGACATCAGAGCGCGGTGGCCGAGCGTGAAGCACGTCTGCGTTTACCACCGCCTGGGGTGAGCGGCGCCACACCACGTGACTCATGTTAATGTTTGGTACAAGTTACCTCAGAAGTCAGATGTCGGAGCTGAAAATGACGTCACACCCGGCGAGTCCCAGGGAAGTTTTTTTAGAGCATGCCATGCCCGAATATAAGGGGAGCGCTAAAATTTTTTTCGTAGATGCAGCCATCTTGTTTCCGCCTCCGATTTCGCTTTTTTCTGACTTTGTAACTGAAACACTGGGAACTCGTGTGACGTCATCTTCAGCTCCGACATCTGACTTCCGAGGTAACTCGAACTCAGCATCAGTCTGCCCTACTTCACATGCTCAGTCTGCCCTACTGCACATGCTGAGTCTGCCCTGCTGCACATGCTCAGTGCAGAGACGAGACCCGGTTAAAGAAGTTTAAATGTATTTAATTGATCAGGAACATTGATCAGCAGAGGCGGAGTTGTAGTTCCATCAGTCACCACTAGGACAGACTCTGACTCCATGACTGTACCGCTTTCAGCCTGATGACACGTTAACATGTCACATAACCGTGTCTGAATCTTTGAGCGCCACGCTGCTTCAAAATCTGTTTGACCAGATTCACAACTACTCCGAATAAACGACTTCTCCTTTCCCATGACTCCTCCCTCTCTGACTCCTCCCTCCTCCTTTCCCATGACTCTTCCCCCTTGACCCCTCCCCCTCTCTGACCCCTCCCTCTCTTACTCCTCTCAGGTGGGTGGGGGTGGGTCAGGCCAGTGTCATCATGGCAATCTCATCTCCTCATCGCCTTGACGGCCAGCAGGCAATTCAGCACGCTGTTACGCAGCTGAAGGCGACTATCCCCATCTGGAAGAAGGTCAGATCAGAGTGATCGGTGTTTGATCAGGATGTTTGATTATTGATCAGTTTGATGTTTGGTTATTGATCAGGATGTTTGATTATTGATCAGACAGAGTCCACAGGATCAGGAAATGAGTTTGGTCTTTTTTCAAAAGTGTCTCAGGATAATGACTGTTGTGATTTGGCACCACATAAATAAAGATTGATTGATTGATTAATTGATTACAGCGCTGTTTCCAGGACCAGAACTATTGATTACAGATCATGTGACATGTCATTGATTTTACAGATTATTGATCATGTGACTGTGATTGACAGGAGGTGTACGACACTCAGGACTCGAGCTGGAAGCAGAATGTGGAGTGTTCATGGTCGCTTCACCGTAAACCTACAGCACCGTCAGAGAACACCTGAACAGGTGTGATCAGTAACTGAAGGTTATCAATCCTAATAATAATCAAGAGTGTGTGTGTGATTGTGTGTTCATTATATCTGTGTATTACTCACAGATGGTTCACAAGTTTGATTTCACTCTGAGTTAATGAGTTTTTATCAAACCAGTCTGTAATTTTGAACCGAGTGAGACCTCGTCTCCTTCTAAAATAAAATATCTTTGTTTGTATTTCCATAAATTTCAGAAGTCACTGACTCCTGTCGTCTGTTTGTCTCTGAGCAACTTTCAGTCTAAAATATCCTTCAAGTGAAATAAAAATCTGAAGCTTGGAACGTCAGTTTTTTACTCTTTCTCCCAGAAAACTGAGAGTGATGAAAAAACAGAAATATCTAATAAATTTAAATACAGACAAATTACTAAAGTTTGATTAATAATGAAAATAACAGTGTTAGGGAAATGTTGCATGAACAAACAACCAGAAACTTTCAAATATTTAATGAGTGATAAAAAACTATGTTTTCTTAAGGTACTTTTAGTTTGAAAACTAACATCCTCCCGTTTTATCGGGTGTTTATGTTCTCCAGTTTTTATCAGCCTTCACTGATATGATGGGAAAATGTTCTCACTGTTATCAGTCACAACATGAGATAAACTGCTGTGTCTCACCAGTGTGGGCGGAGCTTCACAGGTAAATCCCTTGTATTTCTGGTTGAACTGAGTTTGTGTCTCTGGTGTTTGAGATATTTAGTTGTTTGATTGATTTAACATTGAAGTTACACTTCACTCCTAAAACAGTGTTTTTTGTTGTTGTTGTGTTTATAATCTCAGAATAATAATGCTGATGTTAGTCACGTTTACCCCACAGTGCCCCCTCCTTTTGTGTCTGAGCTGTCAACATCAATGTTTTTCATTTTCAGTTAACCTGCTGAGGTTTTCTGTAAATGAGTCAAACAGAATAATATAGTTTTTAAAAATGTTTTATTTTGGATCCACCATTATTTCCAACAAAATATGCAGTAACTCCTCTTCCTAGGGTCCTTATCTTCTTTTCCATTTTCATTTGAACTTAGACATGTACTTACAGACATTAAAACTTACATAGCACACATTCTACACTTCATTCATACAGAAGCTCTTATTGTCTCTTCCTTCTTGAATAATAAACCAAAACATAAATAAGATGAAGAAAGAAAAGTGAAAAGACAAAAAAGAAAAACAGAACTTTTTAGGGATAGCAAGAAAACTTAATCCATCAGAGAGAAGAGCCAAACTCAGTTTTATTCATGGTACTCCATAAGTAAACAAATACACCTTTAAAAGTCCATTAAAGCAACTTCTGTGAATGTCTGAAATCAAGGAGTTCAGTGATATCATTGCTCTGTAACAGTCCTTTTTATTGCTGTTCTCTGATGTCTGCCCAGTACCAAACTGATGTCCCTCAGAGAAAAATGTTAGTTTATTAAAGAGTACTTCTGGTACCCTATTATAATAGTTAATTAAAGAGTACTTCTGTTACTCTGTTCATAATAATAGTTTATTAAAAAGTACCTCTGGTACTCTGTTTGTAATCATAGTTTATTGAAGAGTACTTCTGTTACTCTGTATATAATAATAGTTTATTAAAGAGTACTTCTGTTACTGTGTTTGTAATCATAGTTTTTTTAAGAGTACTTCTGTGCGTCTGTTTATAATCATAGTTTAATAAAGAGTACAGCTGGTACTCTGTTTATAATCAGTTTATTAAAGAGTACTTCTGTTACTATGTTTGAAATCATAGTTTATTCAAGAGTACTTCTAAGATTCTGTTTATAATAGTTTATTAAAGAGTACTTCTGGTACTTTGTTTTTAATCATAGTTTATTTAAGAGTACTTCTTAGACTCTGTTTATAATAGTTAATGGGAGAGCACTTCTGTTACTCTGTTTATAATCATAGTTTACTAAAGAGCACTTCTGTTACTCTGTTCATAATCATAGTTTATTAAAGAGGACTTCTGTTACTTTGTTTAAAATCATAGTTTATAAAAGAGTACTTTTAAGACTCTGTTTATAATAATGGTTTATTGGAGAGTACTTCTGGTACTCTGTTTATAATAATAGTTTATTGAAGAGTACTTCTAAGACTCTGTTTATAAATGTTTATTAAAGAGTTCTTCTGTTACTCTGTTTATAATCATAGTTTATTAAAGAGTACTTCTGTTTTTATGTTTTAAATCATAGTTTATTTAAGAGTACTTCTTAGACTCTGTTTATAATAGTTTATCGGAGAGTACCTCTAGTACTCTGTTTATAATGATAGTTTATTAAAGAGTACTTCTGTTACTCTGTTTATAATCAAAGTTCATTAAAGAATACTTCTGTTACTCTGTTTATAATCATAGTTTATGGAAGAATACTTCTGATACTCTGTTTATAATCATAGGTTATTTAAGAGTACAGCTGTTTCTCTGTATATAATAATAGTTTATTAAAGAGTACTTCTGGTACTCTGTTTATAATCATAGTTTATTGAAGAGTACTTCTGTGCATCTGTTCATAATCAAAATTTATTAAAGAATACTTCTGTTACTCTGTTTATAATCATAGTTTATCGGAGAGTACCTCTAGTACTCTGTTAATAATAATAGTTTAATAAAGAGTACTTCTGGTACTCTGTTAATGCTATTAGTTTATTAAAGAGTACCTTCAGTATTCTGTTTATAATCATAGTTTATTAAAGAGTCCTTCTGTTACCCTGTATATAATAACAGTTTATTGGAGAGTACTTCTGGTACTGTGTTTGTAATCATAGTTTATTTAAGATTACTTCTGTGCGTCTGTTTATAATCATAGTTTAATAAAGAGTACAGCTGGTACTCTGTTTATAATGATAGTTTATTAAAGAGTACTTCTGTTACTATGTTTGAAATCACAGTTTATTAAAGAGTACTTCTGTTACTCTGTTTATAATAATAGTTAATTAGAGAGTACTTCTGTTACTCTGTTTATAATAAAAGTTTATTAGAGTACAGCTGTTACTCTGTTAATAATAATAGTTTATTTAAGAGTATTTCTGTAACTCTGTTTATAATAATAGTTTATTGAAGAGTACTTCTAAGACTGTTTATAATAACAGTTTATTAAAGAGTACTTCTGTTACTCTGTTTTTAATCATAGTTTATTAAAGAGTACTTCTGTTTCTATGTTTAAAATCATAGCTTATTTAAGAGTACTTCTTAGACTCAGTTTATAATAGTTTATTGGAGAGCACTTCTGTTACTCTGTTTATAATCATAGTTTACTAAAGAGCACTTCTGTTACTCTGTTCATAATCATAGTTTATGAAAGAACTTCTAAGACTGTTTATAATAATAGTTTATTGGAGAGTACTTCTGGTACTCTGTTTATAATAATAGTTTATTAAAGAGTACTTCTGTTACTCTGTTTATAATAGTTTATTAAAGAGTACAGCTGTTACTCTGTTAATTAAAATAGTTCATTTAAGAGTATTTCTGTAACTCTGTTTATAATCATAGGTTATTTAAGGGTACAGCTGTTTCTCTGTATATAATAATAGTTTATTAAGGAGTACTTCTGGTACTGTGTTTATAATCATAGTTTATTAAAGAGTACTTCTGTGCATCTGTTCATAATCAAAATTTATTAAAGAATACTTCTTTTACTCTGTTTATAATCATAGTTTATTAGAAAGTACTTCTGTACTCTGTTTGTAATCATAGTTGATTAAAGAGTACTTCTTTTACTCTGTTTATAATAATAGTTTATAAAAGAGTACCTTCAGTATTCTGTTTATAATCATAGTTTATTAAAGAGTACTTCTGTTACCCTGTATATAATAAAAGTTTATTGGAGAGTACTTCTGGTACTGTGTTTATAATCATAGTTTAATAAAGAGTACAGCTGGTACTCTGTTTATAATGATAGTTTATTAAAGAGTACTTCTGTTACTATGTTTGAAATCACAGTTTATTAAAGAGTACTTCTGTTACTCTGTTTATAATAATAGTTAATTAAAGAGTACTTCTGTTACTCTGTTTATAATAAAAGTTTAGTAAAGAGTACAGCTGTTACTCTGTTGATAATAATAGTTTATTTAAGAGTATTTCTGTAACTCTGTTTATAATGATAGTTTATTGAAGAGTACTTCTAAGACTCTGTTTATATTAACAGTTTATTAAAGAGTTCTTCTGTTACTCTGTTTTTAATCATAGTTTATTAAAGAGTACTTCTGTTTCTATGTTTAAAATCATAGTTTATTTAAGAGTACTTCTTAGACTCAGTTTATGATAGTGTATTGGAGAGCACTTCTGTTACTCTGTTTATAATCATAGTTTACTAAAGAGCACTTCTGTTACTCTGTTCATAATCATAGTTTATTAAAGAGCACTTCTGTTACTCTGTTTAAAATCATAGTTTATAAAAGAGTATTTAGTTTAAGACTCTGTTTATAATAATAGTTTATTAAAGAGTACTTCTGGTTACTCTGTTTATAATAATAGTTTATTAAAGAGTACAGCTGTTACTCTGTTACTTATAATAGTTTATTTAAGAGTATTTCTGTAACTCATAGTTTATAATAAAAGTTTATTGAAGAGTACTTCTAGTACTCTGTTTATAATAATAGTTTTATAAAAGTACTTCTGTTACTCTGTTTATAATCATAGTTTATGGAAGAATACTTCTGATACTCTGTTTATAATCATAGTTTATTAAAGAGTACAGCTTTTCTCTGTATATAATAATAGATTATTTAAGAGTACTTCTGGTACTCTGTTTATAACCATAGTTTATTTGAGAGTACTTCTGTGAGTCCGTTCATAATCAAAGTTTATTAAAGAATACTTCTGTTACTCTGTTTATAATCATAGTTTATGGAAGAATACTTCTGATACTCTGTTTATAATCATAGTTTATTAAAGAGTACAGCTGTTTCTCTGTATATAATAATAGATTATTTAAGAGTACTTCTGGTACTCTGTTTATAACCATAGTTTATTTGAGAGTACTTCTGTGAGTCCGTTCATAATCAAAGTTTATTAAAGAATACTTCTGTTACTCTGTTTATAATCATAGTTTATTAAAGAGTACTTCTGTACTCTGTTTGTGATCATAGTTGATTAAAGAGTACTTCTTTTACTCTGTTTATAATAATAGTATATTAAAGAGTACCTTCAGTATTCTGTTTATTATCGTAGTTTATTAAAGAATACTTCTGTAACTCTGTTTATAATCATAGTTTATGGAAGAATACTTCTGATACTCTGTTTTGAATCATAGTTTAAAAAAGAGTTGAGCTGTTTCTCTGTAAATAATAATAGTTTATTAAAGAGTACTTCTGGTACTCTGTTTATAATCATAGTTTTTTAAAGAGTACTTCTAAGATTCTGTTTATAATAGTTTATTGGAGAGTACTTCTGGTACTTTGTTTATAATGTTGGTTTATTAAAGAGTACTTCTGTTACTCTGTTTATAATAGTAGTTAATTATAGAGTACCTCTAAGACTGTTTATGATCATAGTTTACTAAAGAGTTCTTCTGTTACTCTGTTCATAATCATCATTTATTAAAGTGTACTTCTGTTACTACGTTTAAAATCATAGTTTATAAAAGAGTACTTCTAAGACTCTGTTTATAATCATATTTATTTAAAGAGTACTTCTGTTACCCTGTATATAATAATAGTTTATTGGAGAGTACTTCTGGTACTGTGTTTGTAATCATAGTTTATTTAAGAGTACTTCTGATACTCTGTTTATAATCATAGTTTATTAAAGAGTACAGCTGTTTCTCTGTATATAATAATAGTTTATTTAAGAGTACTTCTGGTACTCTGTTTGTAATCATAGTTGATTAAAGAGTACTTCTTTTACTCTGTTTATAATAATTGTTTATTAAAGAGTACCTTCAGTTTTCTGTTTATTATCATAGTTTATTAAAGAATACTTCTGTAACTCTGTTTATAATCATAGTTTATGGAAGAATACTTCTGATACTCTGTTTTGAGTCATAGTTTAAAAAGAGTACAGCTGTTTCTCTGTAAATAATAATAGTTTATTAAAGAGTACTTCTGGTACTCTGTTTATAATGATAGTTTATTACAGAGTACTTCTGTAACTGTGTTTGAAATCATAGCTTATTAAAGAGTACTTCTAAGATTCTGTTTATAATAGTTTATTGGAGAGTACTTCTGGTACTTTGTTTATAATGTTGGTTTATTAAAGAGTACTTCTGGTACTCTGTATATGCTATTACTTTATTAAAGAGTACTTCTGGTACTTTGTTTATAATGTTGGTTTATTAAAGAGTACTTCCAGTACTCTGTTTATGCTATTACTTTATTAAACAGTACTTCTGTTACTCTGTTTATAATAGTAGTTAATTATAGAGTACCTCTAAGACTGTTAATAATCATAGTTTACTAAAGAGTTCTTCTGTAACTCTGTTCATAATCATCATTTATTAAAGTGTACTTCTGTTACTACGTTTAAAATCATAGTTTATAAAAGAGTACTTCTAAGACTCTGTTTATAATAATAGTTTATTGGAGAGTACTTCTGGTACTCTGTTTATAATAATAGTTTATTAAAGAGTACTTCTATTACTCTGTTTATAATAATAGTTTTAAAGAGTATTTCTGTATCTGTTTATAATAAAAGTTTATTGAAGAGTACTTCTAAGACTCTGTTTATAATAGTTTATGAAAGAGCACTTCTGTTACTCTGTTTATAATCATAGTTTATTAAAGAGTACTTCTGTTTTTATGTTTTAAATCATAGTTTATTTAAGAGTACTTCTTAGACTCTGTTTACAATAGTTTATTGGAGAGTACTTCTAGTACTCGGTTTATAATAATAGTTTAAAAAAAAGTACTTCTGTTACTCTGTTTATAATCAAAGTTTATTATAGAATACTTCTGTTACTCTGTTTATAATCATAGTTTATGGAAGAATACTTCTGATACTCTGTTTATAATCATATTTTATTAAAGAGTACAGCTGTTTCTCTGTTTATAATAATAGTTTATTTAAGAGTACTTCTGGTACTCTGTTTATAACCATAGTTTATTTAAGAGTACTTCTGTGCGTCTGTTCATAATCAAAGTTTATTAAAGAATACTTCTGTTACTCTGTTTATAATCATAATTTATTAGAAAGTACTTCTGTACTCTGTTTGTAATTATAGTTGATTAAAGAGTACTTCTTTTACTCTGTTTATAATAATAGTTTATTAAAGAGTACCTTCAGTATTCTGTTTATAATCATAGTTTATCAAAGAATACTTCGGTAACTCTGTTTATAATCATAGTTTTTGGAAGAATACTTCTGATACTCTGTTTTGAATCATAGTTTAAAAAGAGTACAGCTGTTTCTCTGTAAATAATAATAGTTTATTAAAGAGTACTTCTGGTACTCTGTTTATAATGATAGTTTATTAAAGAGTACTTCTGTTACTATGTTTGAAATCATAGTTTATTAAAGAGTACTTCTAAGATTCTGTTTATAATAGTTTATTGGAGAGTACTTCTGGTACTTTGTTTATAATGTTGGTTTATTAAAGAGTACTTCCGGTACTCTGTTTATGCTATTACTTTATTATGGAGTACTTCTGTTACTCTATTTATAATAGTAGTTAATTATAGAGTACCTCTAAGACTGTTTAAAATAAAAAAATTATAAAGAGTACTTCTAAGACTGTTTATAATCATAGTTTACTAAAGAGTTCTTCTGTTACTCTGTTCATAATCATCGTCTATTAAAGAGTACTTCTGTTACTACGTTCAAAATCATAGTTTATGAAAGAGTACTTCTAAGACTCTGTTTATAATAATAGTTTATTGGAGAGTACTTCTGGTACTCTGTTTATAATAATAGTTTATTAAAGAGTACTTCTGTTACTCTGTTTATAATAATAGTTAATAAAAGAGTAATTCTGTTACTCTGTTTATAGTAATAGTTAATTAAAGAGTAATTCTGGTACTCTGTTTATAATAATAGTTTATTTAAGAGCATTTCTAAGACCCTGTTTATAACAGTTTATTAAAGAGTAAAGAGTTCTTCTGTTACTCTGTTTATAATCAGAGTTTATTAAAGATTACGTCTCTTCTATGTTTAAAATCATAGTTTATGTAAGAGTACTTGTTAGACTCTGTTTATAATAGTTTATTGGAGAGTACTTCTGGTACTCTGTACTCTTATTTTGAAGCAAAGCAGAAAAATCCCGGTTGTTATTGCCTCAGTGCGCGCGTCCCCCCCCCCCGGTTGGTCAGCTGACCGTCGGCCGGTCTGGTGACTGTCAAACCCTGAGAACCCGAACCGTGACCCGAACTCTCGCACTGCCAGGCCGAGGCCGGCCTTTGTGTTCCCGGTACCGGAGCTCGTGACCCGGCCACACCCCCCCTCCCCTCTCCTGCGGCTCTGACCGAACCGGGACCCGGATCATCATCATCGAACCATCCTCCTGCTCTGAGGCCGGTCAGCGGGTCTCTCCCGGGCCTGTGTGACCCTCCCTCCTTCCCTTCCTCGGGCCGGACATGGTGATGTCGGTTCTGGAGCTGGTCCTGCAGGGCCTGGCCGGCTTCGGGTTGGTCCTGTTCCTCGTGCTCTGGCTCATGCACTTCATGTCCGTCATTTACGTGTGAGTCACCGCGAACGAAGCTAACCATGCTAACCGTTAGCCGAGCGGCGCCTTTATTTCTTGCTTTAATTCTGCTCCTGTTCGGGGGGTTCTGGTTAATAAAGCTCAAACTAGAGAAGTGGACCGTCTGAGTGAGGTTCTGAGAGTGGGAGAGCGGTTAAAGGTCCGGGTCCGAACAGTGGTTCCGTATTGGGCGTTTTCCTGGTTAAGCGTTAGCCGGTTAGCTCTTCAGGCTAACAGACGGGAAACCGGATTTATTAATAATTTACAGAACCATCTGGACCCTCTGTGGACCCACAGTCCTTTAGTACCGACTCGGTTTTGATCAGTGTCATCAGGTCTGGTTCTGATCCGGCAGTCTGTTGGTCTCAGCTTTACAAATTTCCTGTTTCCTCTTCGTGTCGCTGAATTCGGTTTAAAAAACATCAAATTTCACGATGTTTCGGTTTGCAACTGGTTTTATAGTTAGGTCAGAAAAACCTAAAACTGTTTTATTAAAGTATTAGCGCTCACTTTTCAGTTATTCACATTTAATTATTTAAATGAACTAAAGGATAAGTCCGCCTGACTTTAAAGGGGATCTGAAATAAAAGGAAACTTCTGACTTAGAATAGGGGAGAGTGGGTTAAGATGATCCATGTTTCCTATTTGGGATCTCTACATCAAGTCAATCCTAGTTTTGTCTCTAACTAGTGTATCAGCAGATATTTCAGGATGTTATTCATCCCTGCAAACCAACAGAATAAGTGTAGACAGAACTGTAACCTTGATAATACAGCATGACAAAAAAGGGGTCTCCTATGGTCAACTTACCCCGTGTATGTATGGGGTAAGTTGACCATAGGAGCAGGGTAAGTTGAGATGTATCCCAACTGAAAACACAACTAAAACACATTACAGGAGAGAAATAACTGATAATTTAGTTTTATAGCTGCATTTGTTTGGTGAGTAACCTTTATTTGACAACAGTTTCAGCAAAGCTTAAGAGAGGCAGATTTGTATTTGGTGAGGTCGAGTTCATGGAGGTCAAAGGTTATGAAACAATAATGGTCTTTCCCCTGATGGGACGACTCAAAGTGCGTCAGAGAATTTCAAAATTACTTTCCCTAACTTCAGACCTGTGGTTTAGTCAAAGATCCTCAACCTTAAAAGAGAGTTTTAATTTCCCTCTCTTTAGTTTCTGCTCTGGGGTATTTGAGGGTCAGGGAATCTGTCATGGAAAGTCCTGAATGGTTTTGATTTTTAAGGTCAGTTGTAGTTTTTTTGCTCTCAGAGCAGATCATCAGGATTAAAACATTGATTATGTCATCGTCTCAGGGGGGTCTTCTGGAGATTAGAGGATTTTTACACAAGTATTCAGGACCTTCAGAGACCCCTCAGGTCTTTAACAGCCCCCCCATAGTTTAAACTGGACTCTGGTATTCCTCAGGCGTCACGTTAGTGAGGATGAAACCATGAGTTATGGGGTCAGGGTCAGACGGGTATGTGTTGCCCCCCCCCCCCCCCCACACCCGTTCCTCAGGGTTTGAGGGCAGAGGAGTCCTGTGACCGGCACAAAGTGAGGCCTTAAAGGCAGAACTCTGATTCTAACAAAGACCCTTTTAAACCTCAGGAACCACCTGAACGGACCGAGTTCAACCTCACCCAGGAGGAGTGTGCCGGTCCACCAAGCTGTTTGGTTCTGTTTGATCCAGTCCAGTCCAGTTTAATTTGGTTCTGTTTGGTTCGGTCCGGTTCATTTGTGCTTAGTTCAATATTACGTGTCTGCAGGGCTGGAGAGCAGATCCACAACCCTGTTTTTAACTGCTGTTCAACATCCAGAAATTTAATTTAATAAACAAGTTAATTAACAAATAAGTTCCCACAGTCACATATTTAGATATTAATCTAGATTTTATTGAGTTTAACATTTTTTACTCATCTTTTTATGTATTGTCTGCCTAACTATAATATTTCAGGTTTATTCTACCAGCATATTAACTTATATTATCCCAATATCACAGGGATTGGCCTCACTTTTATACTCTTCATTCCTCTGCAATGATTTTGACCCCCTGTTAGCTGCATGTTGACCCAGTAAGGTTCTGATCTGTTCTGGTATCTGGGCTGACCCGTTATTTCTCTGAACATCCCGGTATCAGTTCTAATGACAGTAGGGTATCATGTTTGTCTGGACCGAGCCGACACACTTGTAGAACCTCCAACAGTCATGGTCAATCACAGGAGGTGATTGGACCAATCAGAGAGCGTCTGGTTGGTGCAGATGTTCTATAGATGGTACCATCTTTAGCTCCGCCCTTTACGGTCAGGTACAGAAGGCTGTAAAGACACTAGAGAGTCCAGATCTGGTTTATCACCTCCAGCTCCTCTCAAGACCAGAATCCATCTCAGCTGATCTTCCTCCTGACCTCTGACCTCTGTCTGTTTCAGGCGTCTGCACCTCCACAAGAAAAGGTCAGAGGTCAAACAGCAGTTCGTGCAGCTGGCAGGAGTGTCTCTGCTGAAACCTCTGAAGGGGGTCGACCCAAACCTGATCTCCAACCTGGAGACCTTCTTCACGCTGGACTACCCAAAGGTGACCTGAGTCCACCTGAGTCCACCTGCAGACCCAGACCACTATCAGGACTGAAACCAGACCACCATCAGGACTGAGAGGAAATGTTTTGGTTCCAGTCTGGATGGTGGTCTTCCCTTTTGAACCCGGACTGTCAGCCATGTTGTTTTCCCTTGTTGTTTTGAACCGACCAATCACATTGTGTGTTTTGTCTGTGAATCCGCCCCCGCTGCAGTACGAGATCCTGCTCTGCGTTCAGGACCAGGATGATCCGGCAGTGGACGTCTGTAAAAAGTTGTTGGGCAAATATCCAAACGTAGATGCTCGATTATTCATCGGTGAGGAAATGAACGTCCGTTTATTTTGGTCACATGACTCAGAGATGGCGTGCTCACCTGTCTGTTAGCGGCTAATGCTAGCATGTGCTGATCTTTGGTTTTCAGGGGGGAAGAAGGTTGGAATCAACCCTAAGATCAACAACCTAATGCCAGGTTATGAAGGAGCAAAGTACGGCCTGGTCTGGATCTGTGACAGCGGCATCAGAGGTTAGACCGGCGTCCTGAAACTAAAGGCTGTTAACGGTTACCTTGTCAATCACGACGCTAATTCTGTGTGTGTGTGTGTGTGTGTGTGTGAACCAGTGAAACCAGACACCCTCACAGATCTGACCAGTCAGATGACAGATAAGGTGGGATTGGTCCACGGGTTGCCGTACGTCGCAGATCGCCAAGGCTTTGCCGCCACCCTGGAGCAGGTAAGGCTAACCAGCTGACTGCAGACTGACCTCAGACTGTTGTGATGCTAATGTCCATGTCGCTACCTGATCCGTCCCGCAAACCTGATTTATACTACACATGCAAAACAAACGTCACTTCCTCAGCTAGCCATCTTTGCGACAGCTCAGCTGTTCTCTGCCCCTCATTGTTTGGGACAGCTTCAACATCAGCAAGCTCGCTTCAGTTTATCACAGCCACACACTTTTCTATTCTCCTGAACGGAGTTCTTCCCCCGACTGAAGCAGAGCGCCAGAAAGTCAAGAGAATGGTGCCCAGTTTTACGATTAAAGGTTCCTACTCCAGCTAAACTGTAAAATTGTAACATAGTTATAAAAGGTTTGATTGAATGTGAATATTTCAGTGTTGAATTTGAAACGCTGTATAAAAACGCTGTATAAATTCATCGTCCTGAATGTGTCAGCTTCTTGTTAATAAATTTAATTTATAAAATAAATGAAATAAATCCCCCCTTGATACTTTGAAAAGTCAGAGAACCACCATAATTTTGACCAGGTGGTGGCGCTCTCTGCTACCCAAAAAGTATCACCGTGCTGGGCAGGAGCTCTGGCAAATACCTTGGCATTAGTTCTGGAGGCAAACATTTTTTTGTAGGATTTTAGAGGAAGGTCCTGCCCTCCTTCGTCTCTGATTGGCTAGAAGTGCTGGGCTCCGATTGGTTATTCCTTATGGCTGTGAAACGTCACCGTCTGTCGGGTTAGGAGATTCAGGAGTGCGATAATGTTCTGTTCGATGTACAGAGCCAACAGCCCGCATTTGGCTTGAGCCTGTGATGACGTTTCCAGCTTTTCTAGCCAATCAGAGGTGCAGGAGGCGGGACTTTCCCCTACTGTTCTACAAAAAAAAAAAAATTTTGCGCCCTGGAGCCTCCTGCTAGCTAGCCTGTCACATCACCAGCTTGTTTCTAAATCGATCGATAGTTTAAATAGAGTTTTTAAGGTGAAGTAAATTTGCACTTATGCAGTACAGATCAAGTAGGTAGCGACTCACTGCCATAAAATACATTGAAATACAATGAGAGGAAGTGACGTAGGTTTCATACATGCGCAGTAAAAATAGCGACATTCCATCTAATCCAGTCCTTACAAGGCTAGCTAGCTCTGTCCTTTAGCACTAACGTGACTCAACAGACACTCAAGTGACCGAACACAAACAAACTCATGTCACTCTTCTCAAACCACATCCTAACAACAACAACAACAACATCATGGCTGTGTCAGAGAAGAGTCCTGCTGAGAACCTGGACTGGCCTGGTTCTGACTGACCATCAGATTCAGCTGAAATCAACATTTTAGTCAGTCAACCCAGGATCGTGGTTCGGGCATCATTGTCAGCGTGATGGGGGTCAAGTATGTTTTATAGTTTCAGTCAGTCCGTTTCCATGACACTTGAGAAAACCAAATTATCGCTTTATTCTGATTAAGACTGGACATCTGAAGGTCATGTAAACACCTTAGAACTCAGATTAAGACACCCAGATAATGTGATTGGAATTCGATTTTCTCTACCATGTAACCAGCGTAGTCGGAGTATGATCGGACAATGCATGTGCACGTGCACCACGACCCTGTAACCCCGTAACAAAAACACCAGAGAAGAGGAGTAGCATGCGTCTCATCTGCAGAAAAGGTAGCGCGTCCATCATGTAGGACAAAAACAACGCTGTATGATGCTCCATCTTCTTGCTCCAAAATGGCCAGCAGCTGTTGTAGACACTTCTGACGTCTGGCACCGACCTGCTGTTGTTGTTGAAGGTTGTATGGGGTCGGAAACAGCGCTGCTGAAAAGACCCATATAGCCCCCTAGTTTTGGGTAGGAGGACACGTTAACATCAATAATTCGATTCTCTCAGCTGCATGTATACGCCGACAAGGAGAAAAATCTGATTCAGAGAAATAAACGGATTATGAGCTTAGTCCAATTAAACTGTGCGTGTAAACGAACTGAGTGATGCTAACAGATGCTAATGCTAACCTGTTACCAGGTGTATTTTGGGACTTCCCATCCTCGCTCCTACATCTCTGCTAACGTGACGGGGATCAAATGTGTGACGGGGATGTCGTGTCTGATGAGGAAGGACGTGTTGGATCAAGCCGGCGGATTGGTGGCCTTTGCTCAGTACATTGCCGAGGATTACTTCATGGCTAAAGCGATCGCTGACAGGTGAGCGTGTTAGCTTTGGCTCCTTTGGTTCAAATGTTTGAAACGTGAAATAATTCTGATTCTTCATTTCCTCAGAGGATGGAAGTTCTCCATGGCAACACAGGTGGCGCTGCAGAACTCTGGGTCGTACTCTATTGGCCAGTTTCAGTCCAGAATGATCAGGTGACCTCAGCTCCTCATCTGATTGGCTGTTTTTATACTTTCTGCTGAAGATGAGTTTGACTCTTTGATAATCCTAAAGAGAGAGAGAGAGTGAGAGTGTGTGTGTGTAAAATACAGAGGAGGTCTTCAGTTTAGTGACAGGATGAATCTAAGGACTAAGATCGGTCTGTCCTCCTGGATCAGGTCTAACAGGGACTGAAATGTTCATAGGATTCCCCTCAAAACAACAACACACTCACTTTAACTTTACCTCTGTGTGTGTCTGTGTGTGTGTCTCTCTCAGGTGGACAAAGTTGCGGATCAACATGTTGCCTGGGACAGTGTTGGAGCCGGTCTCAGAGTGCTTCCTGGCGAGCCTCATCATTGGCTGGGCCGCTCATTATGTCTTCAGGTAGGTAGACAATCAGAAGGCAGGAGAAGGCGGCCTGTGATAAAGGGGTGGGGTTGCAGGCATAGACATACATAGACGCCTCATTCCTGCCGGAGCATAATCCAGCGTCACCACCATATTGGATGGGTCTCTCCACTCCAGGTTTGCTCAAGAGCCAAACGGGGTCAATGGAGAATGAGCAACTATGCCTATATTTTTGCACTTTATGGTAACCTGATGCAGTATTGAAACCAGATCACGTAGGATTTCATTTCACAAATAGGATTGACATTTTTTTAACATGTGACATTGTGACATTCACTGTGACTAAAAATAGATGTGTGTGAATTGTCAAATGTATTTAGGGTCACGTGCTCATAAAAAAAAATCAAAATGTTTTTTTCCTGTAAATACGGTGGTGAAATTAGTTTTACGTTGGATATTTGACGGACATTCACTGTGGATCTAACGGCGTCTTCTCACACTCCATAACAGGGAATAACAACAGCAGCGCGGTTAAATCTACTCGACACCCTCACTGTCAACATCGGGTGTTGAATAAGGGACCGTCAATAAATTACCGGTTGATGTTCTCAAAAAAGGCTGTTTTCCTTCAATAGCTTCCATGTCATGTCACCCAAAGACCTAAAACTGATTTCAAATAATAGTACTAAGGTCGATCAATAAGACAAACATTATTTGATCAATTTTCATTGTTCCCCTAAAGTTCTTTGTGTGCTCCTTACTTTTTAAACTTAGAACATGTGAACAAAAATAGTGTCAAACCCTGCGGTCTGTTAACGGCACACTCACTTGGCGGGCGCTTTCTCGCCCCCTGACTCTGATGGTTGTAAATATCTCATGAGTGGAGGAGAATATGTTAGTTTTCCTGCCTCTCCAGGTCCATCTGTGAGTCCAGCTCAGTCCGCAGTGTCCTCCTTGTTCCTCGGGTCAGTCCATGTTCAGCCCTCTCTGGACTGATTCACCCATTCATGTTGTGAAGTGGTGAATTGTTTGTCCTTCCTCTGCCAGTCCAAGACTTTAACAAACCTGAAGCTCTGACAGCGTTCAGGTGGTCCTGCTGTTCTCTCTGTACGGCTGTGTTCATGTGACCTGAGGCAGGGTTCATGTAGGGTCAGCTAGAGGTCAGACAGAGGTCAGTTTGAGGTCAAACACGTTGCCAGAGCTCAGTCCAGACTGCCTGATGTGAGTTTGCTTTTCAGGACTGACTTAGAATCTGAATCCTGTACACACTCTAACCTGTGTGTGTGTGTGTGTGTGTGTGTGTGTGTTTGTGTCTGTGCGTGTGTGCCGTAGGTGGGACATGATGGTCTTCTTCATGTGTCATTGTCTGGCCTGGTTTATATTCGACTACATCCAGCTGACAGGAGTTCAGGTACTGATCAAATATCCTCACAGACTCAGAGCTCTCACTCTGACACGCTCTATCTCCTTCTCTCTCTGTCTTTGATTCGTTGATTCGTTGATTCATTGATTCATTGAGTGATTGATGACATCATCCTGCAGGGCGGTCCTCTGTGCTTCTCGAAGCTTGACTTCGCTGTGGCGTGGTTCATCAGGGAGTCCATGGCGGTGCAGATCTTCCTTTCCGCTCTGTGGGACCCTACCATCAGCTGGAGGACCGGACGCTATCGCTTGCGCTGTGGGGGAACCGCTGAGGAGATACTTGACGTGTAGTTACCATGGTGACTGTCTTCTGACCCCCCCCCCCGCCCCCGCCCCCCCACTATGATCACTGGGGAGGAGGAGGAGACAGGAGGAAGAGACTGTGTTTGTTTTTTAATGAGGAAGCTGAGGAGCGTGTGTGTGTGTGTGTGTGTGTGCGCATGTGTTTAACTATTTATGTTCTTTTTGGTGCTAAAACTAAATGCCAGAACAAGCCAATAAGAGTGCAGAAAAAATAAACAAAAAGAAATGGGAGGGAGTGATGCATCACACTGAATCAGCTGATCTTTAATCAGCCTCTGAAAACAGAAAACTGATCGAACAATCAGAGGGGAGGAACTGAACCCTCCCTCTCCTGATTGGCTTGTTTTCTGTCATCAGGACTTAGATTTTTGAAGTTTCTGATTTTTTTATTGATGAAACAAAAAAAAAAACGAAAATAAAAGTGGAAAAAATCTTCTAGGATGAAAACAGACGTTTGCCCAGATGTTGGAGTCTGTGTGAGCGAACGTTTCCGCCGAGTCAGCGTCATGAATTATGCTAAATCGGCACATTTCTCTCTTGTTTTAAAATATTTTTTCGGCCAAAGTTTCCAAAAACGTCGATTCATTATTTTCCTTTCATAGAGGTTCAGCCAACCTTCACCTCAGTAAAGCGTCAGATCAGGTCTTTACCTGCAGACCAACGAGAACCGGCTCAGTGAGGATGTTCTCTGACCACAGGGGGACGTCAGTCTGAGATCCACACAGGAGCTTTAAGATGAACTAAAGAGAGCAGAAGACTATAATCATGAAACGTGGTCAGACCTTAGACGTACTCAGATAATCATCTTCACCATCAAAACTCAAGAGAAATTTACGAAAATATAAACTCTTAAATTCAAAATGATCCACGCCCGTCATGTCATGTTTTCATGTGATTCTGTAAAAATCTCCTTTAAAAAGTCGCTAAAATAAAAAATAAAACATTTTAAAGGATTTTTAATGCCAACTAAAAGAAAACTGACGTCTCTCAGACTCTCCGCTCTGATTGGCTGTTGAGATTCAGAACAGTTTTGGATCGTTAACCCCTCCCCTTTGGAAAAAAAAAAAACAAAAAACGCTCTCAGCACTGAATGAACCAGTATTCTGACGACGAACGAGAAGGTCGAACATTTCAGCGAATTTACGAACTTTAAAAAACAAACAAACATAGGACCAAAAATAAATAAACAGGAAAAAAACCCACACATTTCTGTTTGTTTTTTAGAGTCTGGACACTGTACAGAGTATGTGTGCGCGCGCTGGTGTTTTTTTTTTTAAGCTGTGTTGCCCTACTGTTAGCTTTTAGCTGTTAGCGTAGCATCAGGGGGTTTGGTTGATGACATCACCTTTGAGTCGGATGAACCACTGTCGCTGTTGTCCAATGAGATCAGTAGGATTGTTTTTTTTTTATTTTTAAATATCTGCTGTAGTCAATGAACCGACCAATCACAGTGGAGGATTGTGTCACCACAGGAACAATAAAGTTTTATCCTTTGAACTGAACTTTGAGCGACCTTTGTTTGGAGAACACGCCTATCGTCTGATTGGCTGACAGGACAGACAGTGGGTGGAGCCAGCAGCAATCAAGGCCAGTAATGTGGTTGTCAGATGATTTACTTATTTGGTGATCCATGTTACAACTTCCTGTCACCCTTTCAGAATAAAGCACAGACCCCCCTCACCCACCCGCCCATGCAGCGATACAGTATTAAAATATTTCATATAATTACTAAAACAGTAATGATTGTATGAATTATATAAACTGAAGTCCCACAATGCACCACAGTAACCTTCATCAGCTGGAAACAAAACGACACTCTAAGATGACGACACAGTTTGAGCGTCAGGAGATGAAACAAAAAAAACAGATAAAATCGTGAAACCTCCTGAAACTTTGCAGGTTTATGTTTTTATGTCTTTGAGTTTAACGGGTCCATGTGACCGACATTTAAAACCTTTGAAAAAAGACAAATCGTTTCATAAACGTATGATGACCATAGACTGTATATAGAACGGACGCCATCTGCCTCCTTGCTCCGTAAACAGCGCCTTCTGGTGACAGGCTGCTGTATAGGTCATAAATCCCGCCTCCTTATGGAGCTGTGGACAAACTATAAATTAATGACACAGAATATAAATGTTTCTCCCCCCTGGTTGTGATGGTGACATGTAGTTACTGTCAGACTGGTTTGTGCTCAAGTCCTCTTTTTTTCTGCACAGCTCCATTTTAAAAAAGTTTCATGTTTTCTATGATTGACACTTGATACAGACTATGGGCATACAGAGATTGTGTAGATCACCCGGGGGATGCGCTGTTTGAGCCGAGCGTCATCACAGCGACTCTCTGCGACTCTCCCGCTGAATGGGTACAACACTACAGCGCAATGTTGGTTTCAGGAGGTGGAGATAAAAACGCGGAAATACAGAGAACTTTTCAGCTTCAATACCCATATACTGACAGGAGGCGGAGCCAAGTTGATCATAGGAGATACAGTCTATGGTCTGTATAGGTAAAGACTAATCTAAATATCACTTATACATGAAAGTAAAGGTCTGAAATGCATTCTGGGATCTCTATGAGATCTCAGAGTGACAGTGATGAACCTGCTGCTTTGGTTTAAAATGATGTGGTGTTAATTTTTGTCATATTGAGAGACTGAATAAAATAAAAACAAAAAGGAATGATGAAGCAGTGGGTGGGGCCCTGATGTGGGTGGGCGGGGCATGGGTTTTAACGGTGGTTACATTCAGAAGACATGAAAACATAAACGCCTCATTTTAAATTTAAAGTCACGAGCACCAGAAAACCAGTGAGACCAAGATCTGGAAAGCCATTTTAACAGGAAGTGATGTCATTACACAAGAATGAGTTGGTCCAAAGAAAAGGCACGAAAAATTTGGCTTGGTTTGACCCAGCCCCCTTTTTAAAGGCCTAATAAGCGATGTTAAACTAGAAATGTTTAAACAGACGTTTACCAACCCTGAAGAGTCTCTTTAACAGGACTAACATGAAGGCTCCGCCTCCTTCGCTCACCTTCAATGACCTTCACCATATTAGGTCAGAAGGCCAACTGGCGATTGACAACTTCCTGTTTTCTGTGGCTTGTTTTCTTGAAGAAAATCACCAACATCAAAAAAACTCAAACAAATAAGATCGGAGATTGGAACCGGAAACACGAACCAGAACATTTGGAGATGAACCAATCACAGCTCAGCACACACACACACACACACGGATAAATACACTCACACAGGTACTGCAGATGGGCAGGACATCAGAGCCTTTACAGTATAAATACATTCATTATTTAAAATCCTTCACAGATAAAATACAAACATCAAAAAGAGAAAAATATACCAACAGAAGAAAAAAAAAACGATCATGTGACCCGTCATCAAACCTCAAACTGGACACCAGGAAAAAAACAGTAACCAGCAAAACCGCCCAGAGAAATAAGGCACAGAAGGAGTTTTCAGTAACATAAAAAAAAGATAAAAAATAATAATGATAATAATTATAATAAAAATAATTACAATAATAATAATGCAGATAACTATTATTTTATAATTATTATAAATACAAAAACAATAACTAATAATATTATTATTGTTATTACGAGTAGAAAAAATATTACAATAATAATTGTTATTGTTATTATGAATATTATTAAAATTCTAAATAGGATAATTATATTTATAAAAACAATAATAGTAATAATCATTGTTATTATAAATAATATTATTATTACTTTAATAATAATACTTATGCTAACAATCATGTCAGATGGTAAACCTGAAGCGTGACGTGCTGGTGGAAAAGTCACGTCTCTGAATATTTCAGATCTTTTCGACTCCCTGAAATCCTCTCAGATCAACATTTTTGGACCAAATGGTTTTCAGATGTTTTTTTTTTTTTTTTAGATTTATGAAAAGGCAGTTTTTTAAACTATTTAAACTCCAACAATAAGAAATAAAAAACAAATCAAAGTGACTTTGATCCAAAGTTTCAGTGAAAAATTATCTGAATAAACAACTTTACAAGTCCAGGTTCAGATCCATGCCGAGTTTTCCTTAAAAGTCTTTAATATGGACCTTCAGGTTTCCTTGTTTTTTTATGAGGCAGTTTTATTCTGAAAATCCTTTTTTTTCCTGAATTCTTTTTCTGATTTAGGATCAACTTTTTGGACTCAGTTACCCATAATGCAGCACCAGGTCTGTTCAGGAATGTGCTATGTAACCTCTGTAACCATGGAAACATCCCTGTCATCATTTGTTACTGTGATGTCAGAGTTTGTAGGCACAGAAAGCTCTCTTATTGGTCCATTTGTTCCCACCTGATAAAGAAGGAGACCTGGGTCAGACTCGGGTCAGATGGTGGACTTGGAGAAGGAGACTTGGGTCAGATGGTGGACTTGGAGAAGGAGACTCGGGTCAGATGGTGGACTTGGAGAAGGAGACTCGGAGGTGCTGGTTGTGGTCCAGCTGGTGGTCGTGCAGAGCGATCAGAGCCTCGATGGCTTCCTCCACAGACGTCAGCTGCATCAGCGCCATCTTCCTGTCCTTCCTGCAGGGAAGGAGAAGCGACATTATCAAACACGTGACCTCAGAAGGTCAGGGCTGGTTTCGGCCCAATCCCAAACCGCCCCCTACACACTCGCCCTTCACTGAGTGTCCCTTGTCATGAAGTTATACTTGCAGCTGTGGAGTACGCCTCAATTAAAATGGGAGGACATAAACAAGACAGGGGGGTATGGGACGCCCTCCTCACTCCACCGGAAAACTGAAAGATTCATCGCCATAGCAACATGAAGACGCGTCCTGTGCAAGGCATTGTTTATTTTCTTAGTAAAGGGACATCATGTACAGTTCTGAGCCGCACTGGCTGTCGCGTGTCTTCATCCTCCCACTAAAATCATAAATCCAGCAACCATTACAGTGACAGGAGCGAAATTGTACTTCTGATTGTTAGTGATTCCATATGTCTTTGAACCCCTTCAACATTTGACATGTGCCTGCACAATCAAATCAAACCTCAGCACAGAGTAAGATTTCCGACTTCCGTTTGATCTTTCCAAACCACGTCTTTGGGGATTTTTTTTTGTCAGTAAGACAAAGGTGGACACATACAGAACTTATATGTGTATGTTGTTTCCTACTCCTCTTTTTTTTGCCTGCAAATCCCGTCGTGAGTGAGCATTGGTGCAGACTCGCTATTGAAGGGCTGAACAGTCCACTCGCCCTCGGCACTCTGTGGTTAGGGACGGCCTTCAATATGGCGGAGCCTCCGCGGGAACACGCAAATGGAGGGAGAGTGTATAGGGCGAGTGTGTAAGGGGTGGTTTGGGATTGGGCCGTCCTGTCTCTAACAGGTTTGGAGTTGTGGTTTTAAAACACACTGAGTCAAGTGAGTGATGGGGGCCTGGCAACAGTGTTGAGGATCCTCAAGATTTCTGGAGGACTTTTTTGTTATTACTCACTGAAAAAACTTAAAGGCGTTGACGGTGAATCCATTGGAGGAGAATAAGTCCTTGAGGTCCTCCTCGCTGGCTGATGAGCTGTGAGGGCAAAACAGAAACATGAATAACTTTAGAGCGTCACAAAGCAAACGGATGCTGCGGTGACATGAACCTTACGGGATGTTGGAGAGGTGGAGTGTCGCTGACGGAGGGAAAATGTTGTTAAAATTTTTGGATCCAGGCTTTTTGAAGCGGTGGAGGGCGGAGCCTGAGAAGTCACGGGTCAGCACCTGTTCCTCTTGCCCCACCCCCCCACGAGGCAGCTGCACCACTGGGTGTTTGGACAGCATCACCCTAATCACGTTACCATGAAGACGCTGGCCGTTCAGGTGACTCATGGCTGTCACAGAGAAAAAAATATAATCAATAAAAATAATGATCAGCTGATCAAACATCTTAAACTCAGAATAAAAACTTTCAGAATAAAAGCTTTTTAGTATAAAAACTTTCAGAATAAAAGCTTTCAGAATGAAAACTCTCAGAATAAAAGTTTTCAGAATAAAAACTTTCAAAATAAAAACTTTCAGAATAAAAGCATTAAGAATAAAAACTTTCAGAATAAAGGTCTTAGAATGAAAACTTTCAGAATAAAAGTTTTCAGACTAAAAACTTTCAGAATAAAAACTTTTAGAAAAAAAGCTTTAAAAATAAAAACTTTCAGAATAAAAGCTTTAAGAATAAAAACTTTCAGAATAGAAGCTTTCAGAATTAAAGCATGTAATTAAAGCGGTACTTGAGTCAGACCGAGTTGAGCCTGAGTGGCATCGCTCATCTGAACGAGAGCGTTTTCCTTTTTGTTGAAGAGGATTTTAACTCTCTGAACGTCCCCGTAAACACCTGAAAACACACACACACACACACACACACAGCTTATTTCTGATTGTGCAGAGCAGACTCCTTCTAACTTTTGAATTTTTGTGTTGTAGATAGTTACAGAGTACCCCTTTATGCAGCGTTTTCGCGTGATCTGAATTCATCTTTACAAAATAAGAATAAAGCTATTTAATTCTTTCTATGGTTCAAAGGTCATTATTTTATAATTAAGTATGAAGATCAGATTGAGAAACTTCGATGGAGTATAAGGGCCAAATTAAAAAAAAATTTTGGATTTTGAGATTAAAGTAATTAATTTACAAGTGTAAAGTCGTAATAAAGTCCTTATATTCTAACCTGTTGTTTAAGATGGCAGTTGCCGAAATTAGAACCATGGAGCATTTCATGAAAATTTACTTCAATATATGTTTCTCAAACAAGGAGATACTTTTTTTTTACATCATCTTTTGGAACATCAGCACCACATTATCATAAGTATAGTAGTAGTTGATTACGACTTTATTCTTGTTAGTAATGACTTATTCTCATAAATTAATGACTTTAATCTCGAAGTCTAAATTGTTTTTTTTTCTTAATGTGGACAAAAATGAGAATTCAGGATATTTTTAAAGGAGTGAAATCCTAATTTTACCAGAATGAGGTCTGATTAATACAAACACTAACGATAAAGTTAAAAAGTCTTGCTGTAAAAAAAAAGACAGTATTTCAATAATAAGGATAAATTATCATTGAATCAAAGTCTCTGCACTACAAGAAATAGAGGAGTGAATATAAAGACATAAAATTATTTTAAGAATAAAATTAAATAATCGACATTTGAACAGACCACAGGATCAGAATTTTATATGGATTAAAGTCAGTCAACACCTGAGGAGTAAGTGGGTTTATGGCGGTAATAACGTGGTCATACAAAAACAACAACATTAATAATAACAATAATAATAATTATTATTATTATTATTATAACAATTACAGAGTAGTAACAGTGTTGAAAATAGCTCTGAGTGTAAACCCTGAAGCGTCCTATTAAACTTGTTCAGAGACAATCAGAGAGTTTCTCACCAAACAGGATGAAGAGGCAGTGGGGAGACACGCTCTGCAGAGACACACAGTCACCGCCGTTAGAAAGCAGCGCTCTGATTGGTCACTTACTGTCTGTATGTATGTATGACTGTGTCCGAAATGGCATACTGCCCACTCAATCTACTTACCTACTCAATCAGTACATACTGCATACTGAATACTCAAAGATGATTTGAGTATGCCGCCGCTGCCCGAGCGTTTACATACAGATGCATACTAAATACCCCAGAATGCATTTCATGCCGGCCGATCGCAGCGCCGGGAAAATTTAAATAGTCCTACCACAAGCTACACAAAACGACTGCATTCCGGACAAATTATATAAATTCATTCAGTGATATTTTTTCTAGCGAGAAAGTAAGTGTTTACATCACGATTATGAGCCCAGTTGTTTGAAATAGCGGCTGTTTGTAAATTTGTCTCGGCGTTTTCGGAGACCGAAGCGTCCGCTTGGTGGGTGTTTGCGTCTACGTACCGTAAACACCGGGCAGCAGCAGCTCCCCCTTCACGTTTCCAAATTATTGCGAAGTGTTTTCATAATCCATAACTACGCGACACAAACCGAGCGGCAGTGGATGAAAAAAATAACACAAACACCTGTGTATCCATGGTGATAATGCTATACACCACCTGCTGGGCGTGTGATGAGCAGCATAGGGCTGCAAAATGACCAACACACAACATAATTATTATGACCTTGTTCGGTTATTCCTTGGCAAATAAATCATTTCCCGACTACATTCTTTTCATGTACAATGATCATTTCAGAAACCATCAGGTAGTTGTGCCTGGTGTAGGCTGAAGCGCCGCCATGCAAGAAGACAAAGGCGTCTTTTCTTCAGGGCAGCTATGTACTTCCTAATGGATTTTCAACCACAAATAAGAATTAGTAAAGCTCATATACTGTATACATTGTCAACTGGAATCTCCCCCGTTTGTGTATTCTGAACCATGTGCTCTCTACCAATAATAATTTTTATTAATCAGAGGTCTGTGCTTAATACGAGTGACCACTTTGATGATGCATTCAAAGATGAGAAGATGCTCAAACTTGTTGTAATAAATACATCTTTAATAGACACTTAAATAAATAAAGTCAATTCATACGAATAGTTAAAAACATAACATTAACTACAATCCTAATTTAAAATACAAATAAATCTGGTAAAAAGATAAATATAAGATTAAATGATAAAAAAAATTGTGTAATGTATACTGAATAAATATTGTTTATCTATTTATATATATATAATTATTATTGCAGTCACATGCCATCTATTTCTTTTCAGCCTCGGGAAAGAGGGCTATATTGCCAGCTGAAGTGCGCAATGCATTCCGGGGCAGAAGCAGTACGTGAAGCAAGCTCCGCTCCATACTCACAAATCGAAGCCGATTGAGTATACATCCGGGCATTTCTGGCATACCCAAAATTCGCACACTGTACAGTGTGAACGCACTGCCTACTCAATTCGGGGGCGGGGTTAGTATGAGTAGTACGAGTAGTATGCCATTTCGGACACAGCCTATGTATGTGTGAGGGAGTGACCTCTGACCTCTGGGTTCAGGTTGGACACCAGAAGCACAGCGTGAACAGGAGGAGGTGCCACCTGCAGGGCCACACGGGGAGGAGACACCAAAGAGCCCGGGACGGCCGCCATCGATAACGCTAAGTGACCAAACTTTATTTAAACTTTATTTAAAGAACACTCAGCTTCAGATTCAATCCTAAACTTTATTCTTATAGACTATTCTAGATTGTTGGTCTCACCTGTGTGTTGGTGGAAGGTGGGGGGGAATGCTGCAGCTCCATATGGAGGCAGAGCTACACCTGAAACACAAAGATCATCCTCATCAGTACCTCAGCAGGTCATTTTTCAAACATCTCCGCAGGTTCAGCTCCTCTAATGTAGACAACAGTCAGATCTATCATCTCTGCAAACTGACACCTGGCTGAGTTGAACCCTGAAGATGTATCACTGATGGGTGTTAGCATTAGCATGTCCTGTCCTCACCGAACGCAGCGGTGGGGTCCAGCTCTCCAGAGGGGAGGTCGGCACGGGTGAAGTCGCGGCTCTTGTCGTTGTTGTACTTCACGTTGAGCGTGCTCAGTTTGGAGAAGTCGATCTTCAGTGTGCAGCAGCCGTTATAGATGTTCTGACCGTCCAGAGACTGAAAGACACACAAAGACAATAACCGTTGTCCGTGCGCAGAGAGCAGCAGGGAAATTACCTCTAACCCCCAATTTCCACTTCATCCTGAACGTCTACTAAAAGGTCGTATCCTCCAATCGTAGCTGATCGTAACCATTCAAGTTAACGTGTCAATTTCCACCGGCTGCTTTCCGTTCCTCTGCGGACCGCCAGACTCCACAGCTGATCACAAGAGTTCTGTTTTTTCCAGACACCGGAGCATGCAGGATAAATTCAGCACAGATTAACCCATGCTGGAAAGGAAGTTGAGCACGGACACAAAATAAAACAGCCGGCTTCTTTTCAAAATAAAACACTCCGTGTTTCAGGAGGATCGTATTTCACACCATGCAAACGGGCGGAGACTAAAAGTGAAAGGTTTTTGATGTCATTTCACCCTGATGACACCATGGATGAGGAGATGTTGATTCTAGAAGTCTACAAGTAGATTTCCTCCTCTGGAAGGACACAATCTACTGCTTATATGTCTCTGTGTCCGTCTTTATAGCGACAACTCGTTATCGCACGATTGAACGAGAGTCTGCGGGTTCTTGTGAGTTCTCGTGATTACCGCTGTCCATAATCCTCCACGAAATTTGCCTCACAAACGCATCCGGTAGGAATTGGCGTATGGCGAAAATTGACGCCGTTCCAGCTGCGATGGAAATTGGGGGTTATTTCTTAGTTTTACAGTTAGTTCCATCAGTTTCAATCTGTGTGTGTGTATGTGTGTGTGAGAGACTCACTGTCTTGGCGTGTTGAGCATGTATGGTGTCGCTGAACTGCAGTAAAGCTTGAAACTGATTGTTTCTGGTGAATGTGATAATTTTCAAAACTGAGCCGAACTTACTGAAGATCTGAAACCACACACACACACACACACACACACACACACACACACACACACACACACACACACACACACACACACACACACACACACACACACACACGCACGCACAAAAAAAACACAACCAAACAGAAAACAACTTTATACAACATCAAACAAACTACAGCCCGTTAAAGTATAAATGAATTAATGAAACATTTATATTCCAGCTCCTTCAGGGTGACCTCTGACCTGCTGCAGCACCTCCAGAGTCACAGGGTAAAACAAATTCTCCACAATGATCCTCAGGACAGGACTCTGACCTGGAGCCAAGCCCCGCCCCTCTCCCCCTGAGGAGGCAATACTCCCAGAATGCCCTGCACTGATGGCCTGCAGCACGGCCCTCTGTCAACAAAAGAAAACAAAGTTGACCTTTTCTTCTCCTTTAGGGGAAATCAAACACAGACTTTTGATTTTGAAGGATTTGGAGTGAACGAATAGGATTAATATTTGTGTTTTATTTGGTCAAAACACTTTACTCTGGAAACAAACACGTTAAAAAAGGATTCGGTCTTTCTCTTATTTTGGACAGATGGACAACCAAAGAGAGATGGGTAAGGAAGGGGGCTGAGAGAGAGGAAGGGACGCATGCAGCACAGGCCGGGAATCGAACCAGAGACCGGTGTTAATACGATGCACACTGAAACCAGAGGGCCAAACCAGGACTGAGCTCTGAACCATTAAAACCAGATCAGCTCCACAGGAACACCTCCAATGAGCTGGATTCAGTTAATGAGGGAAGGTGGGCGGGGCTGAGCCTGCTGCACATTACCTGACTGGTCAGATTGTCTGTCTTGAGCTCAAGGTGGCTGGAGTACTGGACGAAGACTGGCTGGCTCCTGATAGTGGGCGGGGCTGAGGTGTAGTAGTTCACCATGGCAACAGCAGCTTCCTCTGATGCCATTTCTAGAAACACCTAAAAACACGATAAGGCAGATATTTAAACTTTAAACGTGTTACATAGCTGTTAGCCGTTAGCTGTTAGCCGTTAGTGCTTAGCTTTAGCAGTCACCTGGTTTTTGGCCCTCAGTGTTAACAGCTTACTAACTCGACCAAAAGGAAGGGCCAAAGCAAGCACTTCCTGTTCAGAGACGTTGACAGGCAGCTGGCGCAAGTGAAGGACCCGAGATGGGACACACTGAGCGTGCTCAGAAACACACAGCCTATCAGTGCCATCCACTGTGAACAGAAACAAAGACAGAGACAGTTCATGCTAACAGACTTTTCTGCAGATTAAACATTCAAGGATTTTATGATTTTAATATGAAACTTCCAATCTTCAAAGACGGTGAGACGGACTCACATGTGGACAGGTTAGATGAGCTCATGTTCGCAGAGCCGCTGAGATATAAGGTCGAGTCTGATTCCTGCAGGAAAAGAACAACCCGGGTATCATGAATGTCTCTAAAGAGGGAATAAACAACGATAAAAAGAGACTTCAAAGACTCCCAGAAACCCGAATTCTAGAACTGTAGACTTAAGAGCTGTCGCTACCTGATTCGTCCCAGAAACCCGATGTATACTGTGCAAGTGTGAAACGAATGTCACTTCCTCTCTTCGTATTTCAATGCAATTTATGGCAGATAGTTGTTACTAACCTACCCGATCCGTACTGTGCAAGTGCAAATAAAAACTACTTATCAATTCAGAAAACAGCTGGCAATGTGACAGGCTAGCAAGCAGGAGGCTCTAGAGCTAATGCCAAGGTATTTGCCAGAGCTCCTGCCCAGAACGGTGAGACATTTTGGGCCACAGAGAGCGCCACCCCCTGGTCAAAATTATGGTTCTCTGACTTTTCAAAGTATCAAGGGGGGATTTATTTCATTTATTTTTATAAATTAAATTTATTAACAAGAAGCCGACACATTATGGACAATGAATTTATACAGCGTTTTTATACAGCGTCTCAAATTCAACACTGAAATATTCACATTTATTCAAGCCATTTAGAACTACTTTACAATTTTACAGTTTAGCTGGAGTAGGAACCTTTAATCGTAAAACTGGGCGCAATTCTCTTGACTTTCGGCACTCTGCTTCAGTCAAGGGAAGAACTCCGTTCAGGAGAAAAGAAAAGTGTGTGGCTGTTATAAACTGAAGCATCAATAAACTGAAGCGAGCCCACTGAAGCTGCCGCAAAGATGGCAAAGATAGAGGACGTGACGTTCGTTTCGCATATGCGCAGTACAAATCGGGTTTCAGGGATGTGATTTTTTTTTGTAGGATGGTAGGGGTAGGTCCTGCCTCCTTTGCCTCTGATTGGCTAGAAAAGCTGGAAACGTCATCACACGCTCAAGCCGCGGGCTTTCGGCTCTGTACATCGAACAGAACATTATCGCACTTCTAAATCTGCTAACCCGACAGATGATGACATTTCACAGCCATAAGGAATAACCAATCGGAGCCAATCAGAGGCGAAGGAGGGCGGGATCTTCCCCTACCATCCTACAAAATAAAATTTGCCTCTGGGACAGATCAGGTAGCGACACCCAGCATACTAGAGCAGATTCACCCTCATACCTGAATCATGAGGGACAGACCACCATATCTCCTCAGCTTTATCATATTTTCTTTGAACTTCATTTAATCAGTGAATTTGTTTCTCTGTTGTGATCCCTTAGAGCTGTATCATGTTATTTGATGAGGTGAAGTGTTACTTATTAGAGATGCACCGATTAATCGGCCGCCGATTTAAAAAGCCGGTTTTATATCCAACCGGCCCCAACCGGTGACCGGCCGGTCACTGTCGTAATGGAGGACCAGCCGTTTAGCGTAGTACAGGATAAAGGCTTCGTAAATCTGATGAAACACCCTACTTGGTAATTTGTACCATGGACTCAGGTGTTTCATCAGATTTACGAAGCCTTTATCCTGTACTACGCTAAATGGCTGGTCCTCCAGTGCCACGAACTCCATTATTTTCCTAGTGGTGGCTTTGGACTTTTCAGTGCTGATGTCGAACATAGGAGCCACGTCGGAGGGCTGTTGTGGTCGCTGCGACTCTGCCGCATCCCTTCTCTTAGCGGCAGTGTATTCCTTATATTTGCTAAACAAGCCCGGGTGCTTCTTTTCCAAGTGGCGTATTAAGTTTGTTGTTCCAAATGTCTTAGGGTCCTTACACACCAGGCGAGAATTCGCCAAGCGAATTATTCGCCTTTTTTAAAAACAGCATAAAGTCAATGCAAGCTTCCACACCGGCGGCGATTTTTCCTCGGGGGGAAAAGCCGCTTTTATTTTTTCGCTCTTGTGTCGAATTTTTCGGATATTCGCAGGCGAATATCTGGACCTGCTAGACCTCTGGCCAATCAAAAGTCATGTTGTTGATGACATCACAGACCCATACGGCTGGAGGAGAGGGAGAATTTTGAGATTATGAAAACGCAGAGAAAGACGGCTGAGGTGCATCCAAAACTCTTTCGAATTACTAATGAAGTAGTTTTCTCACAAGATGACACTCTCGTCTTCCTTAGGAGACAGATGTCATGTGTCATGTCCGTGCCGCAAAGCGACTTTATTAATTCGCTTTGCAAAAAATATACGCATATTCGCTTCGCGGCCGGTGTGTATAGGCGAAAGCGATTTTTCGGACCGGCGAATATTCGCAATTTTCGTCTCGCTTTTTCGCTTCGCTCCGCAAATTCGCCGGTGTGTAAGGACCTTGAGGCGGTGATTGGTACAAACTACCAAGTAGGCGGTACTTTTCTGACACAGCGCTGCCAGAGTCGTTTGAGAGAGGTACTGGAGGGGTAGTCAATAAATTACATTGTACCAGGCAAATGCTGGGACGTTTTTGAATGCTGTTTGAATGTAAGTTAGTTATTGACCTGTAAACTGGACTGAATGTTATGGTCAGTGTAGAAAATAAATCTGCTCAGGAGGCACTGTTGAAACTCTCACTCTATTTCTTATTTGTGAGATTTTATTCTTGAAAAGGGGGGTTATGATAGCATATAGCCTACCATTAGTTGTGCTTTTAATTGCAGTTAAGCAAAATGTTGTCTGGGAGAGGGGTACTTAAATTAAAATTGGGAATGGGTACTCAAGCCAAACAAATATGGTGTCTATTATATGATTATAAATATTTCTTAGATAGAAAATCGGTATCGGAAAAAACGGTTTTGGCAGGTCAGACCTCCTTTAAAACCGGAAATCGGTATCGGCCAAGCATATTGCAATCGGTGCATCTCTATTACTTATTTAAATCTTTCATTTACACTTTGACATAGACACCTGTACCTGTTCTTTTCAGCCTTAATTTTCACATCTGTGAAATTAACGCCACAGATCCGTAACCCTAATAAAGTCCTCATACAGCTTAGGAACGCCCCTGGACGTGAACACTCAATTATCGCGGGATTTCAGCCAATCAAACTCGCCGCTGAGTCGTCACTCTTCGCTCGCGTCACTTTCAACCAAAACTAAACGAAAAAACACGACAAATCATGTTTCTCTGAGAGCGCGAAAAAAGCGGCACAAGACACGGGAAAGAGGGGTCTGTGGCGGGAAATATTTTAATAAACAAAAATAACGAACAGGAACGGGGGGGTTGACGCACAGGTGCGGTTTTGTCACCAAGGAAACGACAGGGAGGAAGAAGGGGAGGGAAGGGAGGAAGGAGGGGAGGGAAGGGGGGAAGCAGGAATGTTCGGGAAAGGTTCGGGATGAATATCCCGGGCTTACCCGTCCATGGTCCGCGAGGACGAGGAGGAAGAGGAGGAGGAGTAGTAGTTTAGGTCCGCGAGCCTCCTGCTCTGCAGCTACGGAGAGACCATGGAGAACAACGAGCTCACTTCCTGTTTGGTGACGTCTCAACAAAAACATGGAAGCTGAACGGACTCAGGGATCGATAATCAAATCAGTGATCAATAACAGGATAAAAAACCGAGAGTAAAACATCTGACACGGTACAGCTGTGGGAGAAAAGTATTGGACTGTTTTACCCATTTAACCAAGTTTCCTGTAATTTAATTATTTTATAATATTTATTCATAATCTCTAATCTTCAGATTATTTTAGACAGAAAGAGGTCGATATTTTCTCCACAGGTTAAATTAATGGATAAATCGTCTTATGAAAACAACGGAGATAAAAAAAAAGAGTTTAAATGGACTTCCAGGCGAATATCTCTTTTTTTGTTGTTGCTATTACATTTGTTTTATTGTGCGGGTAAATACATACATTTATGTACTCTCTTTAATGTTTTTCTGTAAAGACTCCGGTTTTCCTATATGTGTGGCCCCCTGGCAAAAAAAAAAAAAAAAATCCTTCCTGCTTGTGTGTTGAATTGTCCTGTTCTGTTTAACGCTCAATAAAGTTTTATTGAAAAAAATGTATTATTGTGCGACTTCAGCTCCACATGAAAAAATCGAAATGTTTCAAAGAAAAGAAAAGTAGAGGCAAACATGACAGAATATAGCAGATGTCATCATCAAATTAGTTCATAAAAATAAAAAAACTTTACAAGAATGATGAAATGCTGACTAAATTGCGTTTTGTCTAAAAGAGCAAAACATCCAATAAATTCGTTTCTTAAGTGAAAAACAACAATCATGTTCGTTTTTGTGGATTTATTCAATAATTCCAGTTCTGAAAAATATTTACAGGCTTTTTAAATCATCTTTTTTCAGACTTTATTGACATGTCAGGAATTACATCAAACACAAACAAAGAACAATATAATGCCAGGAGATCACAGTATGTTATCAGTTCAGATCAATAAAATATTATATAAAATGCATAACTCTGTGGTTTTAAAAGCTTTTTGTTTGATGAATATTGGATAGTTGTGAAGTATTGTTTGAGTTCCTTCTCAAATATCAAAAATTATGGATTATATTTGGATTTATGTGTGTGGTGTTTAGCAAGTTGATGATATAATAATGATCTTTGCTGTTCGCAGGATAGGAGTGGATCCCAAACAGCACATTCACATACGTAAGAGACACACCAGGGATACATTCTATGGATCATTTTAACAAAAACTTCTTTAATCTTGTTTATAATCAGAAATTTACCAGGAAGACACCAGATTCTTCTCCAGTCTGAAGTAAAAGGCTGTTCCAGTGAGAAACTACATCTGGAACAGTCCTTTTTTAAAATAAAGCTCGTTTATTATATTATATTATATTATATTATATTATATTACAGTTACTCTTCTTTAGACGAATATCTCTTTAACCCGTAAGAATCCTTGCCTGCAGACCGGAAGAAGGTCAATGCGCGATATCCGGTTGAGTTGATATCTTGAAGTGGGTGAAAGGTGGAGGAGAAGACAGGCGGTTATTCCAAAGTGACGGTGTTTTTACCTGTTTGAGCCTCCATCACCTGAGCCATCATGCTGCAGAACACAGGGTGAGTATATTAACGTAGGAACTGAACGGTCAGTGTGAGTGTCCTTTATCGGACATAAACCCCACCGAAAAATGAAGACTTTAAGCCAGCAGGTCTGTACCGAACCTGCAGACTGATCCGCTTCATTTCGGGCTTTTAGACAGAAAAACGACTTTAATATGAGAGTTTATTGAAGCCGATAGAACCGGAGAGGGACCACGATTTAAACTTTTATAAGTCTGATCATTATCTCTTTGTTTTTTGACCTTTGACCTGATAAAGTTTCAATACGAAGATTTTTACACTGGGTTTGGTCTGGACCGGGATCAGATAGATCTTTACTGTCACTGCTGATGGAAATCTACAAACAACTTTAAAAACCTGTTTTTAATCTGAACCATACATAATCCTGGAAACACACACACATACCTCTCTCTCTCTCTCTCTCTCTCTCTCTCTCTCTCACACACACACACACACACACACACACACACACACACACACACACACACACACACACCTCAGGACAGAATCTTTGGCTGTGTCTCATTTCAGAGACCGCATCGACCTAAGTGCCCTTCTGCACCGTCGAACGGTGCAGTTGAAGCGTGCATGACGTCACGACGGTGCGAACGGTGTCCCAGAGCAGTAGATTAAAACAGTTCAGTTCAGTACAGATCAGTTCGTCTCTAAATCTATAATGTTTGGTTAACAGATTTTAGTGAGTTCAGAGATCATGCTCTCATACAGCCTGAGCTGACTGTCTGCTGTTTTTGGATTGCTTGTAGTTTCTTCGAAGACGCGCTGTGTCTCCAAGCGAGTCCAGCCTCTCACCTGAAATGCACAGCTGTGCAGCGGCACGCAAAGAATTCTGGGATACCGACGGCACGAAAGCGTGCATACATGCACGCTTGAAAAAGAGGCGGGGGTAGTGTGGTTTTGAGACCGAATTTGAAGCGCGCTTAGTATTTTGTGCCAAACGGGACACCGTTCGTGCCGCATGGTGACCTCACGTACGCGTCAGATGCGCCGTTCGATGGCTGCTGTATCTGAAATGGGACACAGGAAGGGCACAGAACGGCGCAAAACAACACAAAACGGCAGTGCACTCAGCTAAGCGCCGTTAAGCGCGCTTATCACGATGCGGTCTCTGAAATGAGACACAGCCATAGTCTGTCCTTCTTCTCTGTTTGGTTACAAAGTTTTATTTTTATGTTTTTTTCCACTTTATATGAACTCAAACACTCTTATAATTCTTCTTGAAAATGCAGAACCAACCAGAGAAGTTATTGATTGTATCTCTGTGAAAATCTTTCAGTTAAGATGCTTTCAGATCAGAATAAAAACCTGTTTTTTTTACTGTCTGTGCTGAGGGTCACACAAAGGTATGAACAGATTATTCATTTATTTATAGTCTCTAACGCACACTCTGGCTCTCTCTTGTTTAATGTTCCCTGTAAATATGAACACTGCAGGAACTGAACCGCCCTCTGAGGGTTTCATGAATACAGTTTTCTGGATCAGAGTCTGGTCTTCATATCTGTGTGACTCAGGGACAGGGGTGTCCACAGGAGAGCTGCTCTGTTATGGTCTTACTGTAATACTGTCAGATACATAATTTAACACAAAAATCATCTGACACTGATGTGGATATATTCCACCCAAAAAAAGCTGTAAACATTAAAGGTTGCATACCAGGCCAGTAGATGGCAGTATAGCTTTGAAGGACACTGGCCCTCATTTATCAAGCTTGCGCAGATCTGAGCGCATGATTCATCGTACGATAGGACACACGTGAGATTTATGAAAGGGTTCGTATCTGACCAATCTCTGCATACGTATGATCGGGTCTTGATAAATGTGGCGGCTGAAATTGATCGTCATTAACATGTTCACGCCCTTAAATATTCGTGGTTCAGAAACCTCGCCCACTGAGGTCAAACATGAAAGAGGAGAAATATTAGAAATATTCGAAACTTTTTCAAGCTGAAAGTGGATATCCTCTCATCTGTGGTGGAAACTAACAATGATTTTCTCTTTGGAAGCATCAAAACTGGTATAAAAGCAGTCCAGAAAACTCCGTCTTTGTAATGTAGAGCAGACTGGAGAGTCTGACAGGGGCTGAACAAAAAGAATTATTAGCGTCACCAAACGGTGTGTTGTTGCCCCTGAGGCACATTTTTATGGAATTCTATTGGATTTTTATCACTGATTAAATAGCAAGAGCACTTTCCAAACTTATACTTTACATGTCAGAATCCATCGATAAAGTCCTGTCTTCTCTGTGCAGCACCTTTGTGGCGTCTCTCCTCATTAGTGTTCCTCACGTTGCACCGGCAGAGCCAACGGCACTCCATTCGCCAGTGCAACATTGTGCAAAACTGTACCGGCCCAAATGATGTCCCACACCCTTTCAGGGGTGTTCAACAACGTCCCCGCTGCTGGACCAAGACAGAGACACCTGCCTTTTAGGAATCAAACACAGCGCTCCACATTACGCGTGTGCGTAATGTTGAAACGGCGCTCCTGCTCTGTGGCAGTGTTTCTGGGCAGAGTTATCAAATAGGCCTATTCACGAAGGACAAAACAATTTTATTTTGTTAAAATTATTTATGTTGTGTCTTTAACAACTTAAAGATAAATAACGGGGACGGAGCTTCACATCATCTGCTGTAACTTTATTTTACCGTGGTTCGGCAGGCAACAACAAGGTAGGGCAAACACATATCAATGCGGCATATACTAGGCTGTGAATGCGCTGAGGTGGCACACGGGGGTGGTGTAACTCCACTTAAAGAAATAGTCCGTACACTACAATTCCTCCCTTTTTAAATTAAATGGATGTTACCAAATGCATAACAAAACAATCCATTCAACTATGCAATGCACAAGAAAACATTTCTTTTCTTTTCTTTAAACACCTTTGTGTGCATGAATACTAACACCATCACATTTAAACAACATATTCGAACACATTGCTGCTGGGTAATATTCTACAAGTCCAGTCTCATTGGGGGTGCTCTGTGCCTTTCAGGATAACGCCTCTGGACTTGGGGAGTCGGTTTAGGGGTAACAGGGTTCTTATCCACAGGAAGAGTCTCTGTTATGGCTGGTGCATCGTTGGTGGTATTACTGTCACTGAGGGGCGTGGCTGCAGATGATGAGTTGTCACTCTTTGGTTGTGCATCCAAGATCTGATCCTCGTGACGTCTCCATGTTTGTTCTCCAACGTCAACGGTGTACATTAGTGGTCCAGTCCTTGTTATTTTTCCTGGGGTCCACTTGTCTCCTCTGTAGTCACGGGCTAAGACTTCCTGTCCATTCTCAAAGTCTCTTGGAGTCTTTCCTGACAACTGACTGAGCTGCTTGTTCTGCACTTCCCTTTGCAGATTTGGTTTCAGGAGGTCAATGTGAGACCTGAGAGACCTGCCAAGGAACAGCATTGCAGGTGTTTGGTTTGTAGCAGAATGCACAGAGTTTCTGTAGACAAAAAGGAAGTTGTCCAGCTTGTGTTGGAGAGTCATGTCTTCTCTTTCCATTGCTTTGATGGACCTCTTGAAGGTTTGCACAAACCTTTCATCCAAGCCGTTTGTAGCTGGATGGTAAGGTGCTGACTTGAAGTGCTTGATTCCATTTCACTTCATGAACAGACTGAACTCCTCTGAAGTAAATTGTGGCCCGTTGTCGCTCACAATTTGTTCTGGCAGACCATTTCTAGCAAAACTCGACCTTAGAACACTTATGGTCTTTTCTGAAGTGGTTGACTTCATTTGTACCACCTCTGGCCACTTGGAATGAGAGTCAACGACGATCAGGAACATGGAGTTCATGAATGGTCCTGCAAAATCAACATGCACTCGTTGCCATGGGGATGACGGCCATTCCCAAGGATGAAGTGGGGCCTGTGGTGGAGCATTTTGGACTCTGTGGCAACCTGAGCAGCCTTTGGTGATGTCCTCAAGTTGTTTGTCTATTCCTGGCCACCAAACATAGCTCCGGGCTAGACTTTTCATCTTTACTGTACCAAGGTGTCCTTCATGGAGAGTCGCTAACACCCTGGCTCGAAGTTTGGAGGGAACAACGACACGGGAGCCACACATTAAGGTCCCTTGACAGATTGAGAGTTGGTCCCGTCTAGCCGAAAACTCTGGGAACAGTGGATCACCATGAGCTGGCCATCCCCGCATTGTTATTTCGTACACCTATGACAATGTGGGGTCATTCCTGGTTTGTTTCTGTATTTCAGAGTTTGTCACTGGCAGCTGATCCACCACTGCTGAGTAGAACACATCTGCTGAATCTGGATGAGCAGCATTTTCTCCTTCTGTTTTCAACAAGGGCAGTCGTGACAAACCGTCAGCGTTGCAGTGTTGTTTAGTCCCTCTGAATTCAATGTCATAGGAGTGGGCCCCGAGGAAAAGCGCCCAGCGCTGTAAGCGGGTGGCTGACATTACAGGGATCCCTTTTCTGGGATTGAATATTGATACAAGGGGTTGGTGGTCTGTCACAAGAGTGAACCTTTGGCCATAAAGGTAATGATGAAACTTTTTAATACCCCACACCAGGCTGAGGGCTTCCCGATCGATCTGAGCATAATTGCGTTCTGCACTTGATAGTGATCTGGAGGCAAAAGCAATAGGTCGTTCAGATCCATATCTCATGAGGTGTGACAGAACACAACCAATCCCGTAAGGACTTGCGTTGCAGGCCAGTCTGATGGGTCGTGCTGGATCGTAATGGGTTAACAGTTCATCTGAAGTTATCAGTCTTTTTGTCTCTTTGAATGCTTGATCACAGTCCTCAGACCACTTCCATTTTGCTCCTGTCTGCAGCAGTGCGTTGAGTGGGTGGAGCGTTGTAGCCAAGTTTGGAAGGAACTTGTGATAGTAGTTAATAAGGCCTAGATATGACCTCAGCTGCAACACATTTTCTGGTTTTGGTGCCTGGAGCACAGCTTCAATTTTCTCTTTTGACTTGTGTAAGCCGTGCTTGTCGATGACATGTCCACAGTATGAGATTTCACTCCTAAAAAATGCACACTTATTTCTCTTTGCATGCAGATCATACTCGCTTAGCCTTGTGAGCACCTTGCTTAGATTTTCTAGGTGTTCATCATCATTCTTGCCTGTTACAATGATATCATCGAGATAACACTGTGTACCTGGGATACCTTGAAGCACCTGATCCATGGCTCTTTGCCACATAGCTGGAGCTGAAGCAACACCAAAAACAAGCCTGTTGTATTGAAACAGTCCTTTGTGAGTATTGATTGTGAAGTTTCTTGTCATTTTCCTCAACCTCCATTTGCAAGTAGGCTTGTGCTAGGTCTATCTTTTGAGAACTTCTCTCCCCCTGCGAGCGATGCAAAGATGTCATCTATACGTGGCAGTGGGTATTGCACAGTACGCAGCACAGGATTTATACAACAGCTTCAGCCTGCCCCTTTTTCATCACAGAGACAATGGGGGTCGCCCAATCGCTCCATTCAACTTTTGACAGGACGCCAGAGGCCACCCGTTTCTGTAGTTCAGCTTCCACCTTTGGACGTAGTGCATAGGGAACTGGACGGGCTTTGTGGAACTTTGGAGTTGCATATTCATTCAACTCAATCCTTGCCTTTCTCCCCTTTAATGTGCCTATGCCCTCTGCAAACACTTCCACGTGGGATTTCAGTAGCTGTGACAGTCTCTCTGTGGCACTGTGCGAACCATCATTGTCTATTCGAGCTAAATGTAGAGCTTTAATGGTGTGCAAATCCAGTCTGATTTTCCTCAACCACTCCCGGCCGAAGAGTGGGGGCCCTCCTTTTTCCAACACATACAGCATCAGTTTCAGTCTTTTGCCTTTGTATGTCACTTTCACTTTAAGTTTACCTGTGGGGCACACTTTTTCACCTGTGTAGGTCTTGAGTCGCACAGAAGTCTTTAACAATGGTAGTTTGGGGAACAGTCGCATGTAGTCGGCTTGAGAGATGACAGATAAGGCCAAGCCTGTGTCTAGCTCCATTTTCGACTTTATGCCAGACACATCTGGAGTAATCCAGATAATTTCGTCTTTCTCACTTATGTCATGCAACTCCAAGCAAGAAAGTCCCATACTGTCAGACTCTGATGTAGATCCACTTTCACTTGTTACCATGCTGTGTACATTTTTACCATTGCATTTTGGCTTTCTGTCTTTGTTATACCTTTGCCTTTTAGCTTGGTTGTTGCTTGATTTCTGTCTGCATACTCTCTCAATGTGCCCCGGCCGGTTACACTTTCTGCAGTTTTTGTCATTAAACCAACAGTCATTTGCATTATGAGATGTTTTGCCACATCTGTAACGCTTGTGTTCTTGTTTTCTAGCGTCATTCATTGACATTTTGTGAATGCCACTATCCACAGTTTTCTTTTGTAGCTCCAAAGCGTCCTTAGCTGCTGTCTCCATAGACACAGCGATAGCCAGTACTTTTTCTAATGTAAGATCTTTTTCTGACAGTAGCCTTTTCTGTGTGCTTTGACAATGCATGGCACAAACCAGTCTGTCACGCAGAGCATCAGAAAGTCCTACTCCAAATTCACAAAACTGAGTCAGCCTGCGTAGTTCAGCAACATATTCTGACACACTTTCATCTTTAGACTGGTTCCTGTTAGGGCTGCACGATATTGGAAAAAAATGATATAGCGATTTTTTGGGGGTTTGCGATATATTGCGATATATATTGCGATATTAAAAATAGAATAATTTTTTTACCAGATGACTTGAATAGCTCAGTTTAAGAAGAATTTGGTTGACTCACCATGACTCCATTGTATTCATATAATACAGTTTAATCCAGGCTAAGGGGGTTCATCTGTGAATGATGAAGATTGCTGTATATAAAAGGGATCCAGGTCGGCCATGTTTCTGTACATAACAGATTATTTATTTAACATTGTATTTCACACTATAATGGAAACAGAAGCAAAATATTAAACATTATTTAAACAAAAAAATAAAAGAGCAGCTGCTCCACACAGCCTAGTACACACTAAGACACACTTTGACTTTTCACATACCTTAATAGCACAGACTTTTGAATCATTTACAAAAATACAATAAAATCAAAACCTCTGTAAAGCCGCAGCAAAGTTGTAAACATCTTTAAACAAAAATATCAAACATAAAAAATGAAAAAGCAGGTGTACTAGCGCTTGAGTTGTTTACAAAAATAAAATAACATACAAACCTTTGTTAAACTGCAGCAAAGTTGTAAACATATTTTAACAAAAACATTAAATATGAAAAATAAAAGAGCAGGTGCATTTGTCCCCTGAGTTGTTAACAAAAATATAACAATAAATAAAACAAACTCTGTAAAACAGCAGCAAAGTTGTAAATATCTTTAAACAAAAATATTAAATATGAAAAATAAAAATATGAGCAGCTGTACTACCCCACTGAGTTGTTTAAAAATACAACTCACAATAAATTTAGATAGAAAAAAAACAAGAAAAACTTGTTATAAACTAAACTAAACTGAACTTGTAAATAACTTGTAATAAATAACAGAGAACCCTTTTTGAGTCACAAAATTTCCTGCCTTTCTGACAGCATATTAAAGTTAGAGCAGAGCTGTCACAGGAGGAGGAGCAGAGCTATTCCTGCAGCTGTATTGTGTATGTGTCTGGGACTCTGCACCCACCTTCCTAGCTCAGCAATTCCCAACTTGGTCTCATAGGTTTTTGGCCAAGAATACCAGTTTATCCGCCATTGTTGGCTTGAGACAAGAACGTTGGCAAGTGACAATGTTCTCACTTGTACTAAAAAGCCTCTCCGATGGGGAGCTTGTAGCAGGAATGCAGAGATTCTTGCGGGCAAGCTTGGCGAGTCGTGGAAAGTTTACTTGGTAAGTTTTCCACCATGCAAGTGCATCGTCATCTTTGTCTATGCAAGGTGTTAGCAGGTAGTTGTTGAACTCTGCTTCCACAGATTCACTTGGGGTCAGAGAGGAGGCACCTGCTGCTTCAGCTCTGCTCTGTAATGACTTGAAGAAACTTCCCAAGGACTTCTTGGCCTTCTTTGCCTGGGGCGGGTCAGCAACTGTGGGATCCTCTTCAGTGCTGCCGCTTGATGTCTCCTGGGCCAGGCATTCCATCAGCTCTGTGGTCACTCTGGCCTTGACTTGAGGCTTTTTGTCTGCATCGATGAAGTCCATCTTGAACCGGGGGTCCAAACAAGATGCAATATCTAGCAGCTCCTGAGTAGCTTCATCTTCATATTTGTAATTGATATAATCCAACATCTCTTTTTTCAGCTTCTTGGTCAGGTCTGTGTCCTCATCTTGCTCTTTCAGCAATTCTGTGTTGAAGAGGTGAAGAACTGGCTTAACACAGGAGACACTGACATAGTCTTCACCTGAAAGGGCATCAGTGAAGTCAAGCAGTGGGCCCAGTGACTTACTGACAGATTCGAGTACGTCTGTGTCTTGCCAGGTTGGAATTAGATGTAGCGCCTTCTTATCCTCAGACAGGACCTGAGCTAAAGCCTTCTGTTGCTCTAGGATCCTGCTGATCATCATCTGTCTGGAGCCCCATCGTGTTTGGCATTCTGATATGAGAGAATGTGGAGGCAGATTGAGTTCCTTTTGGGCATCTTCAAGAGCAGCTCTGGCCTTCCAGCTATGCGAGAAGTGACCCACCAGCTTCTTGCAGACACCTGCAGCACGGTTAACCTTGTCATTCTTTTTCACTGCATTTTCTAAAGGGGAAAAATAAAACAAAATACACTCAGAACGTGTGATTCCTGCTGTCATCAGTTTATTTATAAACTGACTAATTTATCATCATCATCATCATCATCATCATCATCATCATCATCATCATTATTATTATTATCATTAACAATAGACGCCTGGTCTCTTTTAAACACCAGGGGTCCACATTGATTTTGCAAAATAAACGCCTGGGCTACTAATTGGTCATTTACTAATTGGTATATTAACTTACCAACTGCAAGATGCAGCTTGTGTCCGAAGCACTGCAGCCTGGTCCACTTGTTCAAGGCAGCTGCCCTCACCATGTTTGCAGCATTGTCTGTCGTCACACAGACTAGACGTTTCTCATCCAGGTTCCAAGAAGCCACAGCTTCTCTCAGCCCCGCTGCAATATTCTCACTTGTATGAACATCCGGGAAAAATGCAGTTTGCAAACAGCGACTTTTGAGTTCAAACTCATTAATGAAGTGGATGGTCAGACTGATGTATGGTTCTGTTGTCCGGCTGGACCACAAGTCCGTTGTAACTGCATAATATACTGCTTGCAACAGCTCATCTTCAACTTGTACCCTCTGTTTATTATACAGCTCTGGGATGGCCACTTGAGAAAAATACGTCTGTGACGGTATTTCATAGCGCTTGTCGAGCGTGCGGATAATTTTTTTAAACCCCTCTTTGGCGACCGTGTTTAATGGCACCATATCTTTCGCCAGGTGAAAAGTTATTGCATCCGTGATTTGTCGATGCTGTTTGGACTTCCTGTCATAAGGTGTTATGCCGGCAAAGGCGTCTGTAATTGTTTTTTGAGTGGATGAGGTTTCACCTGGGGTCCTTGGTTTGCACTGGTCATACAGGAGCTTGTGATGGCGTTTCAAATGGTCGAACATGTTCGACATATTACCTCGTGTTGAGGCAACCACAGCGAGGCACTGTCGGCAGAGGACGTTCTTTTGTTCTGTATCATCTTTTTTAAAGCCGAAATACTTCCAAATTTCGGATGTTGACTTTTTTTGGGGGACTAAATCCTCCATCGCCTCCTCCTGCATGTCGCCTGTTTTCAGAGTGTAGGTGAGAGCGGCCCCTCCTCCCTCTGCTCAGCTGTGGAGGGGGGAGGGGGCGACGGCTGCTTAGCAGGAGGGAGGGGGAGAGAGAGAGAGGCTGTGCGGAGCATGGAGCGGCTTGCTGCTGTTATGAAGTAAAACAAAAGTTTGCGTGTTCTAAAAAAAAGATAAAAATATTGCACGTCCTGCGATGTGACTATCGCGCATGCGTACATCGCGATGGCGATGTTCAAACGATATATTGTGCAGGCCTAGTTCCTGTTGTGGAAACAGAATCTCTCTGCTATCACAAGTGGCTTTGGGCTTAAGTGATTTTTTAATGTGTCCACGATGCTTTGAAACGACTGCGTGGCGGGCTTTTGAGGGGCTAGCAGGTTTCTGAGCAGGGTGTATGTTTAAACACCTATCAGGCTGAGGAGTGTGGGAACTTTCTTTTCATCATCCACATCATTTGCAGCGAAGTAAAGCTCCTCTCTTTCAATGTATGACTCCCAGTCTTCATTAGCACTGTCAAACTGCTCTATTTTCCCAACAAAAGACATCCTCACATTCTGTCCGCCGCGTTCTGTCCGCTGTATTGGCTGTGTCACGATGTTACAGGTTAGCCGTTAGCCTGTTCACTTGTCACTCGCCTCCTGTAACTTCGCTCCTCTCTCTCCCCTTCGTCGCGGAGCTCCGCCGTCTCCCTCGCCTGTCAGTGCAGCCGGGTTCATCCGCTTGCATGTCGGTTCGTTCTCGTCGCCAATTTGTTGTGTCTTTAAAAACTTAAAGATAAATAGCGGGGACGGAGCTTCACATCGTCTGCTGTAACTTTATTTTACCGTGGTTCGGCAGGCAACAACAAGGTAGGGCAAACACATATCAATGCGCCATATACTAGGCTGTGAATGCGCTGAGGTGGCACACGGGGGTGGTGTAACTCCACTTAAAGAAATAGTCCGTACACTACAATTTATGTCTTAATCTTTAATGAAATCTGGCTGATTGTGCTTCATGACAGTTTTGACATTTGTTTATTAATTTTTATGAGACAGACATTTGCTGCACCGCAGATCCACAGTGACTCAAACTTGCGTAGGCCTTCACGATGTCAGACCTGTCGTGAGATTTGGTCGTAGCGTACGTTCACGTGCAGATCAATAAATTTATCAATGAGGATTTGTCAATGAGGATCGTGAGGATTGGCATTTAGAAGAACTTCATTAACCCCTGAAGATGGTCTTTAACGGAGCTGTGGTTCACCATCAGGGTTACTGTCGCAGGTCTTGACTCTAACTTTTTTCACATGTTCTCCCAAGTTGAAAAAGTAAGGAGAATTTTAGGGGCACAATGAAAATTGATCAATAATGTTTGTCTTATTGATCGACCTTAGTACTATTATGTACGGCGTTTTCTGAGAACATCAACAGGTAATTTATTGATTGGTCCCTTATTCAACACCCGACGTTGACAGCGAGGGTGCCGAGTAGATTATATATATATATACAGTATATAGATTGCATATATATGTATGTATAAATGTATATATGTATATATGTATGTATATGTATGTATATATGTATGTGTGTGTGTATATATATAAATATGTATTTATATATATGTATATATACATATAAATATATATGTATGTATTTATATGTGTATATATGTATGTATATATGTATATATGTATGTATATATGTATATATATGTGTGTATATATGTATGTATATATATGTATGTATATATGTGTATATATGTATGTATATATGTATATATATATGTGTACATATGTATGTATATATGTATATATATATGTGTATATATGTATGTATATATGTATATGTGTATATATTTATGTATGTCTATATATGTGTATATATTTATGTATGTATATATGTGTATATATGTATGTGTATATATATGTATGTATATATGTATAGAAAGTATATATGTATATATGTATATTCGTATATATGTATATATATGTATATATGTATGTATATGTATGTGTGTATATATATATGTATATGTTTATATATATGTTTGTATGTATTTAGATCTGTATGTATATGTATGTATATAGATATGTATGTATGTATATATATATAGGCCTGTCACGATAACAAATTTTGCTGGACGATAATTGTGCTACAAATTATTGCCGATAAACGATATTAATGACACAGTTTTTTAAATTATAGAAAATGATAATATATGGCATAATAATGCGAGTACACCATGTCAAAAGTAAAAAACCTTAATTTCCGCTGTCTGTCAGCTCGCACCATTTTGTGGTGTTTTGTTTATATTTGCCTTGCTTACCAAACGCTTCAGTAAGCGGTACCTGTCGGGACGATGGCTCCACAGCACCTCCGGCGGTACTTTTTTTGCTCAGTTGGGAAAAATGGAGGGGATGATTGTGCTTTAGGTGCGCATGCATGTTCGTCATATTCCCCTTCTTTGTCACCACAACTTTGGAACAAATACGACATATCGGCTCGTCCGTATTTGTCGGCTCACCTCTTTCATTTGGTTTAAAGCCGAAATATTCCCACACTTGGGCTGTTGCGTTGGGTTTAGTCACCAAAGCTGCCGTTTGCTTGCTTTTCACTCGCGACGCTCACTTGCAGCACTGTATCCAAAAGTCTGTGTCTGTGTGCCTGTGCGCGCCAGCCCCCCCCCCCCCCCCCCCCTTGACAAAGAGACTGAATGACTGACAGGAGGGTTCAAAATGCGCAGAGTGAGACCTCTTCTCTCATCCAGCATGTTTGATAGCGAGAGAGGAGGAAAACAAACGCACGTTAATTATCGAGGCTGGCAAAATGACCAACCTCGTTTTTATTTACCGAGCGATAAGGCGATTTATTGATTATCGCGACAGGCCTATCTATCTATGTATATATCTATATATATATGTATATATGTATATATACATATATATATGTTTATATATATATATATATATATATATATATATATATATATATATGTGTGTGTATATATATTAATGTTAATGATACTGTCAATAAAAGGAGCAGGAGGAGGAGAGAGGAGGTCAGGGAGAGGAGCAGGAGAAAAGAGATCAGGGAGTCATGTGGTCTTGGAGTTGTTCCTCTTTGCGCAGAAGTTAACCCCCCCCTTAAAAGCCACTCTCTGATGCGTTAGCATGTTAGTTAACTCCTCCTCTCTCTCTTTTGATGTGTTTCAGGAAGTTAGCCGGCTGCACGCTCTTCATCACTGGGGCGAGTCGGGGGATCGGTAAAGCCATCGCTCTGAAAGCCGCCAGAGATGGAGCCAACATCGTCATCGCCGCCAAGACTGCGGAGCCCCACCCCAAACTGCCCGGAACTATCTACACCGCCGCGCAGGAGGGTGAGGATCAAACGGGTCAATGAGTAAACTAACTTCAAAGAGGAGAGTGACGCAGAGCTGAGTCTGTGAGATCAGAGTATAGAGGCTGTTTTTTTTCTGCTGGTGTCGATCTTTAATCGGTTCAAACACTCTCAGAGAGAAGCTCAGGTGTGAACGGTCAGGTAAACCAGGAGAAACATCAGCCCAGATCCTGTTTCTGTGTGTTCTCCTGCTGTTTGTCCACCATTGTTTAGTTTATTTAGTGTGTGTGTGTCTGTGTTTCAGTGGAGGCAGCCGGAGGGAAGGCGTTGGCCTGCGTTGTTGACATTCGTGATGAGCAGCAGATTGGAGATGCAGTTCAAAAAGCTGTCGACAAGTTCGGAGGTAAAAACGTGAAACATCAAAAAAACAGGAACCTTTTCTGTGAGGAATGTGCGAGTTTCCCACACAGGGTTGTCTTGATGCTACACAAAAAAGTCCAAAGTCACACAGTTGGGATTGAAACCTGACTAGAACTGACCTGAGCGAGACCGGAGCGTCGAGAAATAAAGAGAAACCTCTCCAGTCTGAGGGATCCTGACACTGAAGACTCCAGGGTCCAAGAGTATCTGCTATTGTGGTTACTGGTGGAGAGCATGTGATGAAATGTGACACTTCCTATATAAGTCATGATGTCATCATCACAGAGCTTGATTCTGATTGGCAGGAATCGACATCCTTGTGAACAACGCCAGCGCCATCAGTCTGACAGGAACTCTGGAGACGCCCATGAAGAAGGTTGACCTGATGCTGGGAATTAACCTGAGAGGGACCTACCTGACGTATGACATACACACACACACACTAACACACACAGCAGATAACATGTTTAAGACCCTTTAAGACTTGAACCCTGAACCCTGTCTAAGACTCTGAAATCCTGAGAAGGGCCCCTAGATCCTGAGGTTTTCTGAAGTGTTGAGATTTACAAAAAAGCTGATGTCTCAGCCTCTGTAGCAGATAGAAACAAAATTCAAAAGTATTGAAAAGCTTACACATGTGGCTTTCAATATAACTATCTTTTATTTTTCTGAACCTTCATCAGATTATTGAAAACTGTAGGTGCCATATGCAGAAGTGGTTAGGTTTGTGTGTGTTGACATCAACTGTCTGGGTTGCACCTTTCATGCACGTCACGAGGGGGTGTGGTCAAGGCGCGATGATTGAATGATTGAATGAATGGACATATAGTCACCTGGGTGCTGCGGCGGCTGCATGGAGAGGGGGTGAGTAGGGAGAGCGTATTTTTTGTTGACCGCTTGATTTAAACATCAAACTAAGCCCATAGATCATCTTGCCTTGCCCTGTCTGTCTGTTTGTGCGGCGTTGGAAATAAATGTGAACTCAGTCGGAAAACACGGAAATGGCTTGTGGTTTGTGTAGCGAGTCACCAATGCGGAAGCTCCCTCACTTAGCCTCTCAGTGACTGTGTTTTCGTTCCTAGTCACTATATTTTGTCAACAAAAAACGGAGTATCAACACCCGAACGGCATAAACGGACACGATCACGCCACACGGTGTCTAACTGCAACGCCAGACTGATCGCAACGTGGACTTCAGACCGGTAGGCTTGTATCACTCGCATCCATTCATTCTGTGTATGTTGGACGGAACGCAGTTTGATTACAGCGCATACAGCGCATCCATTGGGGAGCGCTGCACGCGTGTGTGAAAGTCCGCTGAGACACGCTGTCCTGCTCGTTGAGAGTAAATACCTGTGGTGTTTTCCGATGTTAATTGATGTGAAAGAATCTGTGGAAAAATAAAACTATGCTGGGTGTATTGTGGATTCACTGCGCGAACCACTGAACTGCCGAATCTCAAAAGGACAATATGAGTGAAGCCATGGAACAAGTGGAAAACAATGAAACTGTGGTTGCTAAAAGGAATGTGAAACTTACTGCAAAAGCATTGGCATATAAAGTGGTAAATCTACAAAATGAACGTAAAACACATGTGAATAAAATAAAAGGCTTAATACCTGCAATGAAAGAGCTGATGAAACGAAAGGAAAATGTACAGGAAGTGAAATCTCAGTTGCAAACTATTACTCAGCTCCTTGATACTGCTGTCAACCTGCATCAAACAATAATTCCACTGTTACCTGAGGATGAAAAACTTAAACAGAATGATTGGTTCTCCAGTATTGAACGTTACAGCAGTACATTCAAGGATGATGTGATTCAGTGGTTGGATGAGAATGAACATGTTCTAAATATCATGGATAATGATGAGGCCGCAGCAACAAAGCATGTGTGTGACCCTCAAATAGATGATGCTTTACAGGCAGCAGCACAGGACACAGGCCCCATCACACCTTATGAAGGTCTACAGGATGACGTGAACCCAAGTGATAGCATATCAAATGTGCAAAGCAAACGATCTGCAAAAAGTGCTGTGAGTGGAAAAAGCTCTGGGAGTGGTAAAAGGTCCAACGTATCAGGAACTTCTTCTGCTCGCATCAAGGCAGAAGCTGATTTAGCTGCACTGATGGCACGGCAAAAACTTTTACAGGACAGACATGCACTGGAAGAGGAGGAGCAGCAAATACGGAAACGCAAGGAAAAGCTCAAGTTGGATGAAGAGATTGCTGCACACTTGGCTAAAGTGAGCGTTCTAAGGGCTGCAAGCATATCTGGTTCGAAAAGTACTACAACGGACAGGTCCAATGCAATGAGTTCCTACGTTAAAAATGAACAAGAAACAACAAAGTTCAATGTCAATGCCACTCCTTTCATTCCTCTGAGGCTGGAAACATCTAAACAGCAATCGAAAATCATGGACAGTGACCCTGTGACAAGGCCTAAATCAGATGGATCGACCCATGCTGTTCACTTTCAGCCTCCCACTTTGAAGAGCCACTTACCTGATTTTAATCCTCTGCTCAATGCTCATAATGATCACTTACATCATGGAATCAGTCTTAATGTTGGGGATTCAGCAAGTCATGGGGAGCAAAACAATGTTCTTGACATCATGAAAAGACAGAATGAAATTACAACACTACTGATACAACAGCAGCAACATGCGCTCTTGCCTAAAAGAGACATCCAGGTGTTTGATGGTGACCCACTGCAGTTCCATACGTTCCTGAGAGCCTTTGAAAACTGTATTGAAAGCAAGTCCAACAGTCATAGTGATTGCCTGTACTTCCTCGAGCAATACACTAGAGGTCGTCCAAGAGATCTTGTGAGAAGCTGCCAGCATATGGACCCAAACAGGGGCTATGCTCAAGCTAAAATCCTATTACAAGAACATTTTGGGGATGAACAGAGGGTTGCTGCTGCTTATATGGACAAGGCGTTGTCATGGGCCCCAATAAAATCAGAGGACGTTAAAGCTCTCCAAGATTATAGCCTATTTCTCAGAGGCTGCGCAAATGCGATGAACGAAGTGCAGTATATGTTCGAAATGGATATGCCTGCTAGCATGCTGACAATAATAAAAAAACTGCCTTACAAGCTGAGGGATCGATGGAGGACAACTGCTTGTGAAATACAAGAAAGACGTAACCAAAGGGCTACATTTAATGATATTGTCCATTTCATCGAAAGGCAAGCAAAGATTCTAACAGACCCAGTATTTGGAGACATTCAAGACTCATCACCAGCAGCAAACAGAGGCATGAATCGAACCAGCTTAAAACCTAGATCTCGGCCAAAGGGAAGTAGTTTCGCTACAACAGTGACTACTGTACAGCACAATTACACAGCAACAAAAGGAAGGAGGCCAGACACAACCTCATCAGCCAAGAAAGTCTGTCTGTTTTGTGAGGGTGGGCACATGTTGGAGTATTGCTCTCGAATGGAGAAGATGACTCACACTGAAAAGATCACCTTTTTAAGGGAAAAGGGAATATGCTTCGGCTGTTTGTGTATAGGACACATCAGCAAGGACTGTCGAAAGCGTCTATCATGTAAAGTGTGTAGTTTGAAACACCCCACAGTGCTTCACATCCATTCAAAGGAAAAGGACCCAGTGACAGAAGAAGAACCAGGCGCCGCAGTGGGCTGTGCTCTGGTATCTAATGGGTTGACTGGGGCTGGTGGCCATGAGTGCAAGCTTCCTATAGTTCCTGTATTGGTTAAATCCAAGAAAGGTAATCATGTAGTGGCTACTTATGCCTTCTTGGATCAAGGTAGCACGGCTGTTTTCTGCACAGTAAACCTCATGAACAAGCTCAACCTCTCAGGAAAAAGGACAAGAATCCTTTTGCGGACAATGGGTCAGGAGAAGGTTGTTAACAGCTGTGTGGTCACGGGACTGGAGGTGGCCGGTTTGGACGGAGAGACATACTGTGATTTGCCCAACACCTATACACAGGAGTGCATGCCGGTGCATAGAGGAAATATTCCATGTCAAAAGGATCTCGAGAGGTGGGCATACTTGAGAGATGTTCACTTACCTGATATCGACTCCGAAGTTGAGCTGTTGATTGGAACAAACGTACCAAGGGCACTGGAACCATTACAAGTCATCCGTAGTGTGGACAATGGACCGTATGCCATCAAGACTATTTTGGGTTGGACTGTTAATGGGCCACTGGGGGGAAACAGTGGTGATGGAATGGATGTTGCAACCGTTAACAGAATTTCAGTCCTGAACTTGGAGGAGCTCTGGCAGCAGCAGTTCAGAACAGATTTCCCAGAATGTGGCTACGATGAGCAACCTGGCCAGTCAAGAGAGGACCAAAAGTTCATGAAGTTGGTCCAGGATTCAGCCAAGCTTGTAGATGGTCATTACCAGATTGCATTGCCCCTGCGAAGCTCCGTGACCATGCCAAATAACAAGAAGGTTGCCGAGCAGCGTGCTCTAAACCTGAAGAGGAGGTTCAAAAGGGACTCGTTATTTCATCAGCAGTACACTGATTTCATGAATGATATGGTCACCAAGGGATACGCAGAGCAAGTACCTTCAGATGAGCTGGCACGTACTGATGGAAGATTGTGGTATATCCCACACCATGGTGTGTATCACCCACAAAAGGGAAAAATCCGTGTGGTTTTTGACTGTGCTGCCACTTTCCAGTCGGCATCTCTCAACGCTCAACTGCTGCAAGGGCCGGATCTCACTAGCTCGCTGATTGGCGTCCTGGCCAGATTCCGGAAAGAACCGGTAGTGATCATGGCAGACATAGAGTCCATGTTTCACCAAGTAAAGGTGCCAAGGGAAGACGCTGATCTACTGAGGTTTCTCTGGTGGCCCAACGGTGACTGCACCCAAGATCTGGTAGACTTCAGAATGTTGGTACATCTTTTTGGTGCAACGTCCTCACCAAGTTGTGCTAACTTTGCATTGAGGAAATGTGCTAAGGACAATGAAGAACAGTTCTGCCGAGAGACCATTGAGAGGATTCTGCACTGCTTTTATGTGGACGATTGTCTGGTGTCGACGGCCAGTGAGGAAGAAGCAGTGGCACTGTATCATGACCTGGTCTCTGTATGTGCCAAAGGAGGCTTTAAGTTGACCAAATGGATGAGCAATAGCCGTGCAGTGATGGCAGCAATTCCAGGGGACCAAAGAGCTAAGGGCATGAAGGACCTGGATTTGGACCATGACCTGCTACCAGTGGAGAGGGTGCTCGGGGTGCAATGGTGCATCCAGTCTGATGTCTTCAAGTTTAGAATCCTGGTGCAGGACAGGCCCCTGACAAGGAGGGGGATCCTCTCTGTCATCAGTTCAGTATATGATCCTCTAGGAATCCTGAGTCCCATTGTTCTTTCTGCCAAGATCATCCTGCAGGAGCTGTGTAGGCAAAGACTCGGTTGGGATGACCCTATACCACCATCAGCTGCACAGGAATGGACGAGCTGGTTAGAGGAGCTCCATCAGTTAGAGCACTTCCAGGTTTCGCGGTGCCTTAAACCCCCAGACTTTGGTGAGGTCACTGTGGCGCAACTGCACCATTTTACAGATGCAAGTAATAATGGTTATGGTGTAGTGACCTACCTTCTCCTGCGGAATGCATGTTCCCAGATGCACAGCAGCTTTGTCATGGGAAAGTCCAGGGTGTCTCCTTTGAAGCCGGTCTCAATACCCCGCATGGAGCTCACAGCTGCTACAATGGCAAGCCGTCTGGACACCTTTTGGAAAAAGGAGTTGCACATCTCATTAATAGAGTCAACGTTTTGGACTGACAGCACCTCTGTGCTGAAGTACATCAGGAATGAGACTTCCAGTTTCCGTACCTTTGTCGCCAACAGGGTAGCAGAAATACTCAAAGTGTCAGATCCATCGCAGTGGAAGTATGTAAACACCCTAAGCAATCCTGCAGATGTGGCCTCCAGGGGACTGAGGGTTGACATGTTCCTGAGGAACAAGGCGTGGTTGTCAGGACCTGCATATCTCCTGCAACCTGAACGAGACTGGCCTGCGAGTCCAGATTGCTTGGGCGAACTCCTGCTGAACGATCCAGAAGTCAAGGCCAGTGTGGCAGTGAATGCAGTGCAGGCCTCAGAGGATGTGGATGCAACCACTCAACTAATCCATCATTTTTCCTCTTGGACCCATCTGAGAAGGGCTGTGGCTTGGTTTCTCAGGCTAAAAAACATGCTGCGGGGTCTCAGCCAGAAGAGGACATGGACTGACTCTGCGTCCACTCAGTCGGAGTCAGGGAAACAACAAAGACCGTCCTCGGAGCTTGGAAAAGGAGGGTTCAAAGACCTGGCACCGAGAGGTTTCCTCACGGTAGACGAGTTGCAGGTAGCTGAAAAGGAAATCATCAGGTTTTGTCAGAGGAAGAGGTTTCCTGATGAACTCTCTAGTTTGCAGAAGGGCGAAAGTGTGAAAAGGAGAAGTCACATCTTTAAGCTCGCTCCTGTGTTGGAGGATGGTATCCTGAGGGTTGGTGGTCGGTTGAGCCGAGCAGCCTTACCTGAAGACGCAAAACACCCTGCCATTCTGACCAAAGAGCTCCACATTTCAGACGTTCTCCTGAGACACATACATCAACAAGTTGGTCATGGAGGACGCAACTACATGTTGTCCAAACTACGTGAAAGATACTGGATTCCTGGGGTCAGCACAGCCATAAGGAGAATTTTGTCAAAGTGTGTTGTCTGCCGCAGGTTGCAAGCTGCCCCAGGGTGTCAGCTGATGGCTGATCTTCCTGTTGACAGGGTCTGCCCAGACAAACCTCCATTCACCAGAGTCGGTGTGGACTACTTTGGACCATTCGAGGTTAAGAGCCGGAGGAGCATTGTAAAGAGATATGGAGTCATGTTCACCTGTTTGGCAATACGGGCTGTTCATATCGAAGTGGCTCCTTCGCTGGATACAGACGCCTTTATTAATGCACTACGACGATTCATGGCAAGACGTGGCCAAGTCCAAGAAATTCGATCAGACAATGGAACAAACTTTATTGGAGGAGAACGTGAGCTGAGAGAGGCTATCAGAGGTTGGAATCAAGCTCAGATAAATGGTGTTCTTCTTCAGAAGGAGGTGAAATGGATTTTTAACCCCCCAGCTGGATCGCACCATGGTGGTGCCTGGGAAAGGTTGATCAGATCAGTGCGCAAGGTCTTGAACTCCATCTTGAAAGTTCAAAATCTGGACGAGGAGGGACTGCACACTGTCCTCTGTGAGGTGGAAGCAGTCATTAACGGCCGTCCAATTACTAAGGCCTCAACCGACCCTAACGACCTCGAAGCTCTGACGCCTAACCATCTCTTGCTGTTGAAAACCTCTCCTTCCCTGCCACCTGGGCAGTTTCAAAGAGACGACATCTACGCTCATCGACGCTGGAGGCAGGTCCAGTACATGTCTGATTTATTTTGGAAGCGATGGACTAAGGAGTATTTGCCACAGTTGCAGGAACGTCAGAAGTGGACTGGTATCAAGCGCAACTTTGTAGAAGGGGACGTTGTGCTTATTGTGGATGAAACAGCACCACGGAACTCGTGGGTCATGGGAAGGGTTATCCAAACCTTCCCAGACAGAAGAGGATTTGTGCGACGGCTGCAGATCAAGACCAAGACCAGCTCCTTGGAAAGGCCCATAACCAAAGTCTGTCTTCTGCAGGAATCGGATGCCTGACTCTTCCGTTCTGGAAGGATAGTTTGATTGACTTTACTGACCGACAGCACGACATGACTTTCCTCCGTGAAGCTGTGTGTCTGAACTTTTGAACTTGGCTAGACTTGACTTGTGTTCCAGGAAGAAGAGCACATTGATGAACTGTATTGATGGACTATTACAAGAACATTGGTGGATTTCGTGGTTCATTTATTTGTCATAGTGTAATTATTATAATGGTAATAATTAGGGGCTGGGTTGTAGGTGCCATATGCAGAAGTGGTTAGGTTTGTGTGTGTTGACATCAACTGTCTGGGTTGCACCTTTCATGCACGTCACGAGGGGGTGTGGTCAAGGCGCGATGATTGAATGATTGAATGAATGGACATATAGTCACCTGGGTGCTGCGGCGGCTGCATGGAGAGGGGGTGAGTAGGGAGAGCGTATTTTTTGTTGACCGCTTGATTTAAACATCAAACTAAGCCCATAGATCATCTTGCCTTGCCCTGTCTGTCTGTTTGTGCGGCGTTGGAAATAAATGTGAACTCAGTCGGAAAACACGGAAATGGCTTGTGGTTTGTGTAGCGAGTCACCAATGCGGAAGCTCCCTCACTTAGCCTCTCAGTGACTGTGTTTTCGTTCCTAGTCACTATAAAAACCTTGAACAAACAAACTCAAATGAAATAAAGCGGCTGCATAAATAAAAGTAAAGGCTCTGCACTGGAGAATAACAAACAGTTTGCTTTCTGTAACACAAGTGGCAGTCATGAATAAGTGTCCATTCATTACAAATGTAAATATAAATTAATAAGGTGTTAAAAGGGTATGCAGCTGCCCTAGTGACAGTATAAAAGCAGCACTAAAAACTAATAAATAGATAAACTAATAAATAAATATGTGTCTGACAGTGTGTTCATGTCTGTGCTCACCCAAAGTCATGCCACACTTACAGAAAACTCAACTTTACTTGTAAAGCACTTTAAAACAACCACAGTTGACCAAAGTGCTGTGCATAAATAGACAAAACAACGCAAACATAAAAAACAATCAAAAAACAATGGATAAAATAAAAGCAGATATTAAAAAGTAAAATATAGTTTCAATGTTTTTAAAAACTAATTTAAAAACATAGAAAGAAATAACTAAAAACAAATTATAAAACACTAAAAAATGAGCAGAGTCTCATGCAGGGTTGAAAGCCAATGAATAAAAATGGGTTTTGAGACGAGTTTTAAAAATGGACAATGTGGAGGCTTGTCTGATTTGGAGGGGTAGCTCGTTCCATAATTTTGGGGCCGCAACAGAAAAAGATCTATCCCCTCTGAGCTTCAGTTTGGACCTCGGTACCTCAGAGAGGTAAGATGGAGTCAGACCATTTAAAGAGTTAAAAACAAATAAAAGAATCTTAAAATTAACTCTAAAATGCACAGGTAACCAGTGGAGGGAGGCTAGGATGGGAGGAATGTGCTCCCTCTTACGTACTCCAGTTAAGAGCCGGGCGGCTGCGTTTTGTACTAACTGGTGAGAGGGAGGACTGGCTGACTCCAAAGTAAAGTGCATTACAGTAATCCAGCTGAGTTGTAACAAAGGCATGGATTACACCGATAGTGTGAGGGGGGGGGGGCAGTAGTCTACAGTATATCTACAGTATATATATATATTTATAACTTAATAGAAAATTTTAAAAACCGTCCAATTACTCGATAATCAGACCCCCTCACCCCCTAATAATCAGTATCGTCATCAGCCCCAAAAAATCCATATTGGTCGGGTCCTATCATCAGCGTCATTATTTCTGTCAATATCACAACCTTTACTAAGCCTGGATGTTTCTCCTCTGAAGCTGCTCTCTGTCTCCGTCATTGTTTACTTTCCTTTATGAAGGAAAGGGGGGTAGTTAAAAATGCTTTTCTTTGATCAGTCAGTCTTCCTGTCGGCGTGAAGAGCAGTAGCCTACAGTATATCTACAGTAGATATATATATTTTTATAACTTCATAAAAATAAAAAAAATCGGCCAATTAATCGATAATCAGACCCCCCCCCCAATAATCAGTGTCAGCATCAGCCCCAAAAAATCCATATTGGTCGGGTCCTATCATCAGCGTCATCATTTCTGTCAATATCACGACCTTCACCAAGACTGGATGTTTCTCCTCTGACACTGCTCTCTGCCTCCATCATTGTTTACTTTCCTTTATGAAGCTTGTATCAAGATCCGATCATGAATCTGATCGCTTTATTAATCTTTATTAGCCTATCAGAGGCAGACGGGTATGATGATTTGTTTCACCACAACTCTAGAAATGATTGAAAAGGTACTGAATGTTACAGAATGATGTATCTGTGCTCCCGACTTAAAGGGGAGAAATGTATTCCTATCCCGGTTTAAACGGGTCAACGGTGTCTGTCTTAAGGTCATTATGAAAGATGGATACCAGCTAATAATGTGTGTGTGTGTGTGTGTGTGTGTGTGTGTGTGTCAGGTCTAAACTGGTCATCCCTCACCTGCTGAAGAGTCGTAGTCCTCACATCCTGAACCTGTCCCCTCCTCTTAACCTGAATCCGGTCTGGTTTAAGAACCACACAGGTAACCATAGCAACTAGCCTGCAGCATCCCATCATGCATTGGTACAACAATAATGAAGCTCTTTCTGTGTAACCATTTCTGTTCTTTCCTTCAGCATACACAATGGCGAAGTACGGCATGTCCATGTGCGTGCTCGGGATGGCCGAAGAGTTCAGAGGTCAAATCGCGGTCAACGCCCTCTGGCCACGAACAGGTCAGTCGTCCTGACACACTTCCTGTCGACTCTCATAACAAGAGTAGAATGAGGACTAACTTTTGAATCAAACCCTGCTCCCTCTGTGTTTTGTTGCCATAGCGATTCAGACAGCAGCCATGGACATGCTTGGTGGGGAGGGCGTGGGTAAACAGTGCCGTACTGCTGACATCATGGCGGATGCTGCCTACGCCATCCTGTCCCAGCCGAAGGACTACACGGGTCACTTCCTGGTGGATGAAGACATCCTGAAGGAGCAGGGCGTGCAGAACTTTGACCAGTACTCCGTCCAGCTGGGTAAGGATGAGCTAACGGAGTTAATGCTAACCTAGCATACACTGGTAGACACTGTTCAGACAAATGGTCATGTGGTACTAAAAGTAGTCTGTGATTGGCTGACAGGTCACCCCTTACTGCCGGACTTCTTCTTGGATGAAGCCCCCGAGTCTCTGGTGCAAAAGATGGAAGAACATGGTGGGATTTGAAGAATTGGAGAATCAGAGATAGAAAAAAAACAGATTTATCTCTAAAATAATCAGAACTTTAAATCTAATACATTGTAAATTTATCTCTAGTTTAATCTGAATTTATCTCTGATATAATATGAATTTTAGCTCTAATGTAATCTAAACTTTAGATCAAATATAATCTAAAATGTGGCTCTAAAATAAACTTAATTTAGCTCTGATTGAATCTGAATCCAGCCCTGATATAATCTTAATTTTAGATGTAATATTATCTGAATTTATTTCTAATATAATCCGAATTTATCTCTGGTAAAATCTTAATTTTAGCTATAGTATAATCTGAATTTATCTCTAATATAATCTATATTTAAACTCTGATAGAAAGGCTGTGTCTGATTGGTTGTCATGGTTTAGCTCCTCCCTTTGGTTTATTAAAAGTTCTTGTTCCTCTTTTATCGTTAGGAGCGACCCCGGCCTTCAAACCCTCTCAGCCATCATCAGCTACGCCCACTTCTAATGGACCAATAGAAAGCACCTTCAGCGTCATCAGAGAAGTCATCAATGAGGAGGTTGTCAAGTCAACACAGGGCATCTATCAGTTCGACCTATCAGGTAAGATCTAGGTCTGTCAGGAGAGGTGCTCTGCTCGTAGAAGGACTTCCTGTTGGTGTGTTTGTGACCATATAATGAGTGTTTGGCTTTATATAAAAAGTATCAGATAGTATCAATAAAGAGCTGAAATTAATGTGGATTTGTTTAAGACCATATAAGGAGATCCTTTAAGTGACATTGTTCGCCTGTTTGTTTCTCTGAAAGGAGAACTTGTCCTTATAAGGAGATCCTGTGGGCTTGTGACTGATGTAATCTAGTTTTAGTCCTAACAAGGAGATCCTGTGGGCGTGTCACTGATGTAATCTAGTTTTGGTCCTTATAAGGAGATCCTGTGGGCGTGTCACTGATGTAATACTGTTTTTGAAATTTTAAGGAGAGCACGGTGGCGTTTGGTTTCTGGATTTGAAGAGCGGTTCTGGCAGTGCTGGGCCGGGTCAACCACCAGTTAAAGCTGACGTTGTCATGAAGATGGACTCTGGCGACTTCAGCAAGATGTTTGCAGGTGAGTCGTTACCATGGTAATGAGGCTTTATGCTGATCTGGTTGGCTATTCCAGATCGGCTGATATTTAGCGTTTTATGTAATCTGCATGATGGTAAGGCTCAGCTCTCAGCCCAGATGATATCACTGACATGAAGATGTTTCAGAGATGGCAGGAGTGGTGCATTGTTTTCGATGTTGTTTCCATGGTAACAGCTCTGCGTCTTTGTGGCGGTTTCAGGTCAGCTAAAGCCGACGATGGCGTTCATGTCTGGGAAGCTAAGGATCAAAGGAGACATGACGCTCGCCATCAAACTGGAGAAATTGATGGGCAAAATGAACAAGGCCAAACTGTGAGCACCAAGCTCCACCCCCAGGCCCTCTCAGGCCCGCCCACTTGCTGTAGATGATGCCTTAATGAATTTTAACAATAAAGCTCTCCTTGTTAATAAACTAAACAGAGTGTGGTTTCATTAATCAGACTGAAGAGACAAACACGGCTACAGAAAAACAGGCTCAAAAAATCCACAGGGGACCCTGACTCTACTGTGAAGTCTAACCCTGACAAAGAAGCTTCCTGCTCTTCTTGATGTTCTGCTCAGCAGCAGCAGAGGTTTGAGTCGGTCAGGAGTCTGGGGCTTCTCCGACGAGAAAGGACCTTAAAGGTGGTGTAGTCAGGATCTGAGGAAGTTCCAGTTTTTAGGAGAAATCTTGAATGTAAACTCTACCCATCCCAACCAGTTTTCCTCTCAGCTCCTCCTCTCCCCTCCCTCTCTGCTCCAGCAGGCCCCGCCCTGAGACAGACGCTCCTGCTTGCTCGTATCATTCCAATTAAAATTGGATATAATGCATATAAATACTTAAGATAATTACAAATTGGGCCCAGTCAGCGTTAAAGTAAAAAGCATTGGTGCTGCTGTAGATGCCAACAGACTACCAGCAAACACAATGGCCCTCATTTATTAAGCTTGCGTACAGCAGAAAACTTGTGTACGAAAGTTTTGACATGAGGATCGGCATTTATCAATCTGCACGTGAGTGTACGCTACGACCAAATCTCACGACAGGTCTGACATTGTGTACACAAGTTTGAGTCAGTGTGGATCTATGGTTCAGCAAATGTCTGTCTCAAAATAATTGATAAACAACCCTCAAACCACGAAGCACAATCAGCCAGATTTCATTAAATATTAAGATGTAAATAAAATAAAATGTCCTTGGTGAATAGGTCTATCTGATAACTCTGCCCAGAAACACTGCCACAGAGCAGGAGCGCCCTTTCAACATTACGCACACATGCACCACTGTGGAGCGCTGTGTTTGACTCCTAAAAGGCAGGTGTCTCTGTCTTGGCCCAGCAGCGGGGACGTTGTTGTACACTCCTGAAAGGGTGTGGGAGTGCCGTTGGCTGTGCCAGTGAACGTGAGGACCCAATGCCCGGAGAACAATAACCAGGAGAGACTCCACAAAGGTGCTGTACAGAGGAGACAGGACCTTATCCATGGATTCTGACATGTAAAGTATAAGTTTAGAAAGTGCTCTTGCTATTTATTCAGTGATAAAAAAAAATCCAATACAAATCCATAAAAATGTGCCTCAGGGGCAGCAACACACCGTTTGGTGAGGTTAATAATTCTTTTTGTTCAGCCTCTGTCAGACTCTCCAGTCTGCTCTACAAGACACAACAAATTAAAACTAAATACTTTCAATAATAGGTGCAACGTACCCTATGTCATACCAATAAAAAAAATATGAGGCATGTATGAGATATTAATTTATCATCATGAGCAACTTATTGACCAATGATTTATTCAAACTTCAGCCACTGTCCACTATTCCGCAGCAGCGCTGTTCAGCGTGTAGCGATTTGAAATGAGCCTCACACGGCCGCACCAAAATAATACGGTTTGAAATGAGCCTCACACGGTCGCACCAAAATAATACTGTAGCGATTGGAATTTATAATAAATGTCTGAAGATTAATAATCTCAAATTATGATATTTATGCACTCGTTGAAAGGGGCACCACCCACCCTTAATGGTGGGAAAATAAAGAAAACAAAAGTTTAATTCAGAAATCAAACATCAAGTCAGTCTTAATTAATCAGTCCCATATCTTAAGCCGAAATTCTCATTTCAGGGACTCCACTTCTGGAAGAACACTAACAGACAGGAACTTAGAAAAATAATGATCTGTTTATTACAGGATAAATGATGGTACAGCATACATGCAATAAATGATGATAAGATAATGAAGATAAATAATAATAGGTGAATAAATAAAGATGCTGAGTCAGGCTAGGAGCACTAAAGTTAATTATAGTGAGTGAATATGCGCTAACTTATTAATCTACACTAATTTTGGTGTCGAGATAAACTCGGGTGTGGATTTGGAGGAATCTAAGATCACCAGAAATAGGTGGATATCTGAGTTATGAACGCATGAGACAGCACCAGCCCTCTTTGGAGCTCTGGAGGTTTGCATACTTAAGTGAGTCTGGTCCTTAGAGAAGGTGGAGCAGGTTCCGAAGGTCCGGGCTACCAGCGATTCGAGCGGTTCAGCTCAGAAGACGACTGAAGTCAGCCGAAGGATGGGCCTGGAGTTGTAGCACTCGGGCCCGAAGCAAAGCCAGCGCCTGTGGATCCTGTGGATGCTCGTTTGGGTACTTCTTTGGTCTCACTCAAAAACTCTGGCACAGAGGATGACCTGGGCCTGCTGGGTTGCGTTCAGAGGTGACTTTGAAATCATGCAGATAACTCAGAAAAACGAGACTCGAGCAGAGAAAACTTTCAAAAATGGCTTCGCGAAATTAAAGAAAAATCAATCAAAGGCTTAATCTTGAATTGCTATGCGCACAAAAAGTTGAAGTTTCAAAACTTGAACTAAGACGATGTTAAAGAAAAATCAACGTGAATCAACACGTGGCGTAAAACTTAGTAGACTAAGAAAAAGTTCTAAGAGAGAACAAAGAAAGAGAGGCCCACAGAAGGGTGTGGACAGAAGAGAAGGGCCCAAGAGTAAGGGGCATAAGAAAGTGCACAAGAGGCGATAAGAGAGTGAGCAACCCCACTTCACTGGTTTTATCTTCTCACACTGGGAGTGTCTCTGGCGTGTGTGTGTGAGGAGAAAGAGGAGGAGGGTCGTGTGGTCTCCAAGCAGAGGAGACATCGGATCTCTGATTATCTGATCTAACTTATACTTTTGGCTGGTAAAAGAGTCAGATCTGATACTCACTCACTATGATTAATATCATTGAATGCTAGGTTTCATGATAAATAATTTGATACTAAACACATATGAATGAAGTGTAGGATCACATCAAACATTCTCAATATGTTTTAAGTATCACATTGAACATGCTAAATTACTCTGAAATGAAACAGATAGTAACACATGGAAACTGTGAACAACAAAATAGTAAACATATGTGAAACTTCATCATGATCAATAATGGATTCTAAATACTCACATTCAGATTATTCAATGACATTATAAACACCTAATGGTTAAAAATACTAAATAAATAACTAAAATATAAACCAAACATTTCTAAACCATTTCTTTTACTTAGAGTAAAGTTATGATTCATAGTCAATAAAGTTAACTCTAAAAAGTTCATGAAACAATCTGGAAAGCTGTTGGTCTAAAGAAACTAAAGAATAAAGGATTTATTCTGTCAGAGTGATAACTCTGCTTCTGGAGCACATAGAAAAACGGGAAACATCTCATTTTAACACAAATTTCATGATTAGACAGATTAGTACATTGCTGAATGCACAAGATGTCAGGATCAGTCATTTGTATTCTTTCACCAAAGGAATGCAGTCTTTATCAGTGTATGGTCGAGCAGGGTTTTACGACCGAGGTCTGGAGGTCAGTGTCCCCCCTTATCCTGGGGTCCGTATGTTCACACACTTTAAGAAGGTAAATCTCAAATGGGAGATCTGGGTTGAGACGTTAATGTTTATTTAGATGGTCAGCAAATGGAGTCAGTTTGAAAGGTAATAAAAACTCTGTCTCTGTTCTCCGAATTGACCAATCGTGAAGAGTCAGAGGTTTAGTCAACCTCCGGTTGGATCACTTAGGTAACCTGAAAGTGCAAACAAGTCTGGAAAGATTTATATCCTGTGTCCTGGGACCAGATAAGGAAACTTTCCTGTGAGGAATGTATGAGTTTCACACCCAGGGTTGTCTTGATTGCTACAAGCGCCACCATAATCCTGCTCCAGACAGGAGTTTTCTGGACTGCTTTTATACCAGTTTTGATGCTTCCAAAGAGAAAATCCTTGTTAGTTTCCACCACAGATGTGAGGATATCAACTTTGAGCTTGAAAAAGTTTCGAATCTTTCTAATATTTCTCCTCTTTTATGTTTGACCTCAGTAGGCGAGGCTTCTGAACCACAAATATTTAAGGGCGTAAACATGTTAATGACGATCGATTTCAGCCGCCGCATTTATCAAGACCCGATCATACATATGCAGAGATTGGTCAGATACGAACCCTTTCATAAATCTCACGTGTGTCTTATCATACGATGAATCCTGCACTCAGATCTGCGCTCAGATCTGCGCAAGATTGATAAATGAGGGCCACTGTTTGCAGGACTTCTACAACTAGGATAAAGTGACATAGTCCAGGACCCGAGGTCAACAGTTCAGCGGTGCTACAACACGCTACAGCAGATCCCGTTTGACAAGAAACACTTCTGTTACAGACACTTGGCTTACTTTGTTAAAGCAGTTTACCTGCCCATCAAAAAGGTTACAGGGTCACGAAGATACTGAAGCATCCCCAATTGTTTATGTTGACACGGCTTTTTAGCTCTTGTCTTGTCTACCTCCGTTTTAAGCGCCCGTTATTCCACCAGGGTCTCTGGTATCACTTTGTTTTCTTGCTTGTGTTGGCAGCTGTGGCCAAAGGAGGATTCAGACAATTTTCTGAACTTTTTGGTTAGTTTCTACTGTCCGATATTGTAGCACGCTAACTTTGTTTGGGCTCGTGAAAGACACGGGGGAGCAGCGTCTGCCTCACAACCAATCAGGTCAGGGTAGGTGGAGAATGAATTTGTTTACAGTGAGAAAGAGCGTACAGCTCTAAAATGTTAAAATGTTGACTACACAGACATAAGAGATATTGTGATATTCACAAATGTCATCAATAACTAATAACTATTGACTGATATTAAAGGATTTTTTGTAAATACACCACAAAAAAAGATGTTTCTTTAAAAGATTCCTGTCTACACCACCTTTAAATGATGACATCATTCATCACCTTTAATTCATTATTTTAAATTATTATTACAACAATGAAGTGACTGAAAGGAAAGAATTTAAATTATATAAAAATGAACATGTTTCCTGAGCTTGTGTGTGTTTACGGGCAATAAGACTGAGGAGAACTGAAGGCTTTTATTTTGAAATTTGACTGATTTTAAAGTTCCTGTGAAGAGAGAGCAGGAAGAGATATTTAATCAAGGCCCAGGCTGTGTCTCATTTCAGAGACCGCATCGGGATAAGCGCGTGTAAGCGCACTGCCATTTTGTGCCGTTATGCGACGTTGTGTACCCTTCCTGTGTCCCATTTCAGGTACCGCAACCGTCGAATGGCGCATTTGAAGCGTGGTCACCACGCGGCACGAACGGTGTCCCGTTTGGCACAAAATGCTAAGCGCGCTTCAAATTCGGTCTCAAAACCACACTGCCCCCGCCTCTTTTTCAAGAGGCAGGGGGCCGTTGGTATCCCAGAATTCTTTGTGTGCCGCTGCACAGCTGCGCATTTCAGGTGAGAGGCTGGACTCATTTGGAGACAGCGCGTCTTTAAAGAAAATGCAAGAAATCCAAAAACAGCAGACAGACAGACAGCTCAGGCTGTATGAGCGCATGATCTCTGAACTCACTAAAATCTGCAAACCAAACATTATAGATTTAGAGACAACTGATCCGCTCTGCTGCAACTATCAAAAACATTAGAAATAAGAAAGCTGACAAAACTACAACAAAGGATCAGGACATCATTGAGTTTTTTTTCTTTTAAGATTTAGAGATTAAAGTTGTAAATTTAGGAGAATAAAGTCATAAAGTATATAAAGTCATAAAGCTGCTTTTGTGGAGGGGGAAATGACTGAAGCTGGTCATCTGCAGGGTTATCGGTGGATGTATCAGCGTGTCATTCAGAGAGATTTTGTGGTTTCTGAAGAAACAATCAAACTGATGATGATCAACATTTGTGATCAAGAGGGAGTCGAGCTCCGATGAGCACCACGTCTCTGACACCGGCGGTAACCTACACCTGCAGAGACACCAACACGTTATTATGGTATATGGATTCATATCATAAACTAAAGCTCAATGTCATTCACGGAAATTTACGGCTGCATAAAAGGATATATCCTTAGCATATTCATTTCTGCCTCCACAAAAGCAGCGATTTCCTCCAAGTCCATCTGTTTTTTTTCCCCGTGGAAAAGACGTATTTCTCATATATTCTTTATACTTATGACAATGTGATGCTGATGTGCCAGAGGATGAAGCATCTCCTTGTTTGTGAAACCTATACTGAAGCACAGTTCCTTCAAATGCTTCATGGCCCTAATTTAAACTCCTAAAATCTCCTCTGAAATAACAGGGAACCTTATAACTTTATTCTCATAAATTAATTACTTTATTCTCGTAAATTCACGACTTAAATCTCGAATTTTACATTTAAACCTTCAATTTTTTAAGCAACTTTTGCATTGCTTTTTCAGCTTTCAGCACACAGCATTTCCACGCATTTTCTGCAAGGAAATGCAATTTTTCTACTTGAAGATTATCACTCTTCACACATTTATTATAAATTTAAATCGCTACACAAAATATAAATTTAGTCACTTAAAATATTGAACTAAAACCAAAAAGTTAAAGAAGACTCAGCTTCTGATCAGGAACAACAAAAGGACGACAATAAATGACAGACAGACAGACAGGGGAACAGTAAAAGACAGACAAACAGGGAGAACAGTAACAGAACAGAAACAGACAGACAGGGGGAACAGTATTAGAACAGTAACAGACAGACAGAGGGAACAGTAACAGAACAGTAACAGACAGACGGGGAACAGTAACAGAACAGTAACAGACAGACAGAGGGAACAGTAACAGAACAGTAACAGACAGACAGGGGGAACAGTAACAAAACAGTAACAGACAGACAGGGGAAACAGTAATAGACAGACAGAGGGAACAGTAATAGAACAGTAACAGACAGACAGGGGGAACAGTAACAAAACAGTAACAGACAAACATGGGGAACAGTAACAAAACAGTAAAAGACAGACAGGGGGAACAGTAACAGAACAGTAACGGACAGACAGGGGGAACAGTAACAGAACAGTAACAGACAAAATGACAGACAGAAAGACAAAGGGAACTGTCAGAGACAGACAGAGGGAAGAGAAACTGACAGACAGACAGAGAGAGGGAACAGTTATTGGCAGACAGACAGACAGACAGACAGACAGAGGGAACAGTAAAAGACAGACAGGCAGAGGGAATAGTAACAGACAGACAGTAAGAAAGACAGACAGAGGGAACAGTAACAGACAGACAGTAAGACAGAAAGACAGACAGACAGACAGACAGAGAGAACAGTAACAGAAAGACAGATAGCCAAAGGGAACAGTAACAAACAGACAGACGGAGTGAAAAGTAACAGGCAGATAGACAGAAAAAAGACAGAATGACAGAGAGAACAGAGACAGACAGACAGAGAGAACACAGACAGACAGAGAAAACAGTAACAGACAGACAGACAGATAGACAGAGGGAACAATAATAGACAGACAGAGGGAACATTAACAGACAGACAAATGGATAGACAGAGGGAACAGTAACAGACAGACAGACAGATAGACAGAGGGAACAGTCACAGACTGACAGACAGACAAAGGGAACAGTAACAGACAGACAGTAAGACAGACGGACAAATTAAACAGTAACAGACAGACAGACCAACAGACAGAACATAAGGCAGAAGGAACAGTAACAGAAAGACAGACAAATAGACAGACAGACAGACAGACAGACAGAGGGAACAGTAACAGACAAACAGAATGACACACAGACAGACAGACAGACAGACAGACAGACAGAGGGAACAGTAACAGACAGACGGACAGACAGACAGACAGAGAAAGAGAGGGGAACAGTATTAGACAGACAGACAGACAAAAAAAAAGGAAAACAGTAACAGACAGACGGACAAAAAAAGGAAAAAAATGTAACAGAGAGACAGTCAGATTGACAGAGGGAACAGCAACAGAAAGACAGACAGACAGAACGAACGAGGGAAAAGTAACAGACAGAACGAAAGACAGACAAGACAGAGGGAACAGAAGGAACAGTAACAGAAAGACAGAAAAAGTGAGGGAAAACGAACAGACAGAATGAAAGACAGACAGACAGAATGACAGACAAAGAGAGGAAACAGTGACAGAGAGACAAAGAGAGGGAACAGTAACAGACAGAAAGACAGCAAAGGGGAAACAGTTAAAGACAGATAGACAAACAGACTGAGAGAGGAAACAGTAACAGAAAGACAGACAGAGAGAGGGAGCAGTAACAGACAGAAAGACAGACTAACAGAAAGAGGGGACAGTTAAAGACAGACAGACAGACAAAGGTAAAGTTAGAGACAGATGGGGGAACAGTAACAGACAGACAGACATAGGGAACAGTAACAGACAGATAGACAGAGAGAAGTGTAACAGACAGACAGACAGACAGACAGAGGGAATAGTAACAGACAAACAGAATGACACACAGACAGAAAGAGGGAACAGTTACAGACAGAACGAGATTGACAGAGGGAACATTAACAGACAGAACAAAAGAACAACAGACAGACAGACATGAAGACAGAGAGAAGGAACAGTAACAGACAGACAGACAGAGGGTACAGTAACAAACAGACAGAAAGCGGGAACAGTAACAGACAGACTGCGTAAACAGTAAAAGACCGACAGGCGGAACAGTAACTGACAGACAGAGAGAAATAGGGAACAGTTACAGACAGACAGACAGACAGACAGACAGACAGACAGACAGAGGAAACAGTAACAAACAGACAGACAGACAGACGAAACAGTAACTGACAGACAGAGGGAACAGTAACAGACAGACAGAAGGAGCAGTAACAGACAGACAGACAGATAAAATATTAACAGACAGACAGTAAGGATGACAGACAGACAGACAGAGGGAACAGTAACAGACAGACAGACAGACAGACAGACATAAAGAACAGTCACAGACAGAAAGACATACATACAGACAGCCAGACAGTAAGAAAGACAGACAGACAGGCAGAGCAAACAGTAACAGACAGACAGCGAGCCAGTTGGAACTGTAACAGACAGAGAGACAGAGAAAGGGAACACTTACAGACAGACAGACGGATAGCCAAACGGACAAAGGAAACAGTACTAGAAAGACAAAGGGGACAGTAACAGACAGACAAACAGGGAGAAGCTTAACAGACAGACAGACAGACAGAGGACACAGAAACAGACAGACAGACAGAAAGAGGGAACAGTTACAGACAGAAAGAATTACAGACAGACAGAGGGAACAGTAACAGACAGAAAGTAATACAGAAAGACAGACAGGCAGAGGGAACGTCACAGACAGACAGACAGAGGGAACAGTAACAGAAAGACAGACTGAGAAAGGGAGCAGTAACAGACAGACAGACGGACAGACAGACAGAAAGAAAGAGGAAACAGTTAGAGACAGACAGACAGACAGATTGACAGAGGGAACATTACCAGACAGAACGAAACAACAAACAGACAGTGAGGGAAAACTAACAGACAGAACAAAAGAGCGACAGACAGAATGACAGACAGAGAGAGGGAACAGTGACAGAAAGACAGAAAGAGGGAAAAAAAAACAGACTGACAGACAGAGAAAGGGAGCAGTAACAGACAAACAGACAGACAGACAGAAAGAGGGAACAGTAACAGACAGACAGTAACAAACAGACAGAAAGAGGGAACAGTAACAGACAGAACGAAAGAACAACAGACAGATGGACAGAGTTAGGGAAAACTTACAGACAGAACAATAGAGATACAGACAGAAAGACAGACAAAGAGAGGGAACAGTGACAGACAGACAGAGAGAGGGAACAGTAACAGACAGACAAACTGAGAAAGGGAGCAGTAACAGACAGACAGACAGACAGAAAGAGGGAACAGTTACAGACAGACAGACAGACGGATTGACAGAGGGAACATTACCAGACAGAACGAAACAACAAACAGACAGTGAGGGAAAACTAACGGACAGAACAAAAGAGCGACAGACAGAATGACAGACAGAGAGAGGGAACAGTGACAGAAAGACAGAAAGAGGGAAATAAAACAGACTGACAGACAGAGAAAGGGAGCAGTAACAGACAAACAGACAGACAGAAAGAGGGAACAGTTACAGACAGACAGACAGCGGCAACAGTAACAGACAGACAGCGTGAACAGTAACAGACAGACGGGGGAACGGTAACTGAAGGACTGACAGATGGAACAGTAACAGACAGACAGACAGAGAGAAGCGTAACAGACAGACAGACAGACGCACGGACAGCGTGAACAGTAACAGACAGACGGGGGAACGGTAACTGATGGACTGACAGAGGGAACAGTAACAGACAGACAGACAGAGAGAAGCGTAACAGACAGACAGACAGACAGACGCACAGAAATAGGGAACAGTAACAGACAGACAGACGGACCGATACACAGAGCTAACATTAACAGAGAACAAAAGGACAATAGACAGACAAATAGAGTGAGGGAAAACTAATAGAACAAAAGAGAGACAGACAGAAAGACAGACAGAGAGAGGGAACAGTCACAGACAGACAGAGAAAGGGAACAGTAACAGACAGACAGACAGAGAAAGGGAGCAGTAACAGACAGAAAGAAAGAGGGAACAGTAACAGACAGACAGTAACAAACAGACAAACAGACAGAAAGAGGGAACACTAACAGACAGAACGAAAGAACAACAGACAGATGGACAGAGTTAGGGAAAACTTACAGACAGAACAATAAAGATACAGACAGAAAGACAGACAAAGAGAGGGAACAGTGACAGACAGACAGAGAGAGGGAACAGTAACAGACAGACAAACTGAGAAAGGGAGCAGTAACAGACAGACAGACAGACAGACAGACAGACAGAAAGAGGGAACAGTTACAGACAGACAGACAGACGGATTGACAGAGGGAACATTACCAGACAGAACGAAACAACAATCAGACAGTGAGGGAAAACTAACAGACAGAACAAAAGAGCGACAGACAGAATGACAGACAGAGAGAGGGAACAGTGACAGACAGACAGAAAGAGGGAAATAAATCAGACTGACAGACAGAGAAAGGGAACAGTAACAGACAAACAGACAGACAGAAAGACAGAAAGAGGAAACAGTTACAGTCAGACAGACAAAGAAAGGGAGCAGTGACAGACAGACAGAAATAGGGAACAGTAACAGACAGACAAACAGACCGATACACAGAGCTAACATTAACAGAGAACAAAAGTACAATAGACAGACAAATAGAGTGAGGGAAAACTAATAGAACAAAAGAGAGACAGACAGAAAGACAGACAGAGAGAGGGAACAGTCACAGACAGACAGAGGAAGGGAACAGTAACAGACAGACGGACAGAGAAAGGGAGCAGTAACAGACAGAAAGAAAGAGGGAACAGTAACAGACAGACAGGAACAAACAGACAAACAGACTGACAGAAAGAGGGAACAGTTACAGACAGACAGACAGACAGACGGATTGACAGAGGGAACATTACTAGACAGAACGAAACAACAATCAGACAGTGAAGGAAAACTAACAGACAGAACAAAAGAGCGACAGACAGAATGACAGGCAGAGAGAGGGAACAGTGACAGACAGACAGAAAGAGGGAAATAAATCAGACTGACAGACAGAGAAAGGGAACAGTAACAGACAAACAGACAGACAGATAGACAGAAAGAGGAAACAGTTACAGTCAGACAGACAAAGAAAGGGAGCAGTGACAGACAGACAGAAATAGGGAACAGTAACAGAAAGACAGACAGGCCGATACACAGAGCTAACATTAACAGAGAACAAAAGTACAATAGACAGACAAATAGAGTGAGGGAAAACTAATAGAACAAAAGAGAGACAGACAGAAAGACAGACAGAGAGAGGGAACAGTCACAGACAGACAGAGAAAGGGAACAGTAACAGACAGACGGACAGAGAAAGGGAGCAGTAACAGACAGAAAGAAAGAGGGAACAGCAACAGACAGACAGGAACAAACAGACAAACAGACAGACAGAAAGAGGGAACAGTAACAGACAGAACGAAAGAACAACAGACAGATGGACAGAGTCAGGGAAAACTTACAGACAGAACAATAAAGATACAGACAGAAAGACAGACAAAGAGAGGGAACAGTGACAGACAGACAGAGAGAGGGAACAGTAACAGACAGACAAACTGAGAAAGGGAGCAGTAACAGACAGACAGAGAGACAGAAAGAGGGAACAGTTACAGACAGACAGACAGACAGACGGATTGACAGAGGGAACATTACCAGACAGAACGAAACAACAATCAGACAGTGAGGGAAAACTAACAGACAGAACAAAAGAGCGACAGACAGAATGACAGACAGAGAGAGGGAACAGTGACAGACAGACAGTAAGAGGGAAATAAATCAGACTGACAGACAGAGAAAGGGAGCAGTAACAGACAAACAGACAGACAGATAGACAGAAAGAGGAAAAAGTTACAGACAGACAGCAGCAACAGTAACAGACAGACAGCGTGAACAGTAACAGACAGACAGAGGGAACAGTAACAGACAGACAGACAGACGGAGAGAAGCGTAACAGACAGACAGACAGAGGGAACAGTAACAGACAGACAGACAGAGAAAGGGAGCAGTAACAGACAGACAGACAGAAATAGGGAACAGTAACAGACAGACAGACAGACAGACCGATAGACAGAACTAACATTAACAGACAGAACAAAAGGACAATAGACAGACAAATAGAGTGAGGGAAAACTAACAGACAGAACAAAAGAGAGACAGACAGAAAGACAGACAGAGAGAGGGAACAGTAACATACAGACCGACAGACAGACAAAAAAACAGACAGAGGGAACAGTAACAGACTAGCAGACAGACAGACAGACAGGTGGAACAGTTACAGACAGACAGATTGAAAGAGGGAACATTAACAGGCAGAACGAAAGAACAACTGACAGACAGACAGATTCGAGGGGAAACTAACAGACAGAACGAAAGAGAAACAGACATTAAGAGAGACAGAGAAAGGGAACAGTGAAAGACAGACAGGGAAAGTGAACAGTAACAGACAGACAGACAGACAGAAGGGGGAACAGTAACAGACAGACAGACAGCAGGAACAGTAAGAGACAGACAGCGTGAACAGTAACAGACAGACAGCACGAACAGTAACAGAGAGACAGACAGAGGGAACAGTGACATAGGGAACAGTAACACACGGACAGACAGACAGACAGACAGACAGACAGAGGAACAGAAACAAACAAACAGACAGACAGACAGACAGAGGGAAGAGTAACAGATGGACAGGCAGAGGGAACAGTAACAGACAGAACGACAGACAGACAGACAGACAGACACACATAAAGACCAACCGATAGACAGAGGGAACAGTAACAGACAGACAAACAGACATAGGGAACAGTAGCAGACAGAAGAAGCAGTAATGGACAGGGGGAGACAGACAGACAGACAGACAGAGGGAACAGTAATTGACAGACAGACAGACAGACAGACAGATAGTCAAAGGGATCAGTAAACAGACTGACAGAGGGAACAGTAAAAGACAGACAGACAGACAAAGGGAACAGTAACAGACAGACAGACAGAGGGAACTGTAACAGACAGACAGACGGACAGACAGAGGTAATAGAAACAGACAGACAGAGGGAAAAGAATTAGACAGGCAGACAAACAGACAGACGGACAGACAGAGGGAACATTATCAGACAGAAAGACAGGGAACAGTAACAGACAGACAGAGGGAACAGTTACAGACAGACAATAAGACTGAAGGAACAGTTACAGCCAGACAGCAAGACAGACAGAGGGAACAGTTACAGACAGACAGCAAGACAGACGGACACCAGGAACAGTAACAGTCAAAGAGAACAGTACCAGACAGACAGACAGAGGGAACAGTAACAAACAGAAAGACAGAGGGAACAATAAAAGACAGACAGACAGACAGACAGAAGAAGGGAACAGTTACAGACAGACAGACAGACAGACAGAGACAGACAGACAGACAGACAGACAGAGGGAACAGTAACAGTCGGACACACAGACAGACCAACCTACAG